CACCCGGCGGTAGTACTCCAGCCGCTCCTTCACCCAGCGGTTGTAGAGGCCCTCCGGCGGCTCGTCCAACACCAGCTGCAAGATGGCCACACTCCATGTGCGCCCAGAAGACATGCTTCATCTCCACCGGATAGTTCTTCTTCCGGTAGTCCTTACCCACCACGCCGTGGACGTTGTCCGCCGTGATGGGGGGGTAAACGATCCCCTCATCGCCCTCGCCTCCCCTAAAACGGATGTCAGGGCCATCGGCACCTGTCCGGCACCCAGGGGCGGAGGGGTCCAGGCCCATCAGCTTGATCATGTCGTTGGTGTAGCCGAGCTTGCGGTAGATGGAGGGGGCCACTGAGTCGGGGACTGCGCCGACCCACCACTGCTTCGTGTTGCAGCGCCAGTTGACCTTCACCTCCGCCAGGGCCCCCGGGCCTCCAATGCGGTCCATGAGGGCCTTGTACACCTCTGGGAACTGCTGGAGGCTCTCCACCGGGACCAAGATGCGCTCGTCGCATACCGCCCGCAGGATCATCTGCTCCTTGGAGTCCGCCACGTCCTGGACCGGGAGCTGCATCACCTCCGCCGGGGTGTCCGTGAGGAAGGCCCGGGCCGCGAGGACCTTGCCCATGGCCCGGTAGACCAATCGCCACTCCGGTCCTGTCTGCGGAAACGGAAGGCCCTCCTCCTTCAGGAAGCACCGCGCGTCCTCCTTCAGGGTCTCCCAGCCCTCCAGGCGGGTCTGATTCTGGGCCTTGTTTTTCGGGCCCCGCTGCCTAGGGCCCTGCAGCAGTGGCAGAGACTCCCAGACTCCCCAGAGCTGGCGCAGGGTGTAGCTGTGCCCGAACATCCCCAGTAGGCCTGGGAGTGTCCAGGACGAGATCTGGCGCGTCCAGTGGAAGTCCTCATCCGGATCGTGGGGGGCAGCCCAAAAGATGGATCGCAGGTTTTCAGGGCAGGGTCGGTCCCCCGCCTTCGCCTGCTGGTGTCCAACGCCTCCGGATTCACCTTGGTGAGGTTTTTCGCCCAATCCGGGACGTGTACCGGGCCCGGTCGTCGGACCCAGCGGCCCGCAAAGATACGGACCTCTCCGACCCGTTTGCTCATCATCCAGCGCAGGACCGAGAGCTGCACCTCCGGGTCCTTGGTGTCCAGGCCCACCGGGGTGGCGGACGGCTTGTCAGGGCCCTCGGCACCTGAGCTCGTCACGCCAGAGCCCGAGGCTGGGGGGATGGTGGGCGGCCTGTCAGGGCCCTCGGCACCTGGGCGCGCCGCACCAGAGCCCCCCGCCTTTGGCATGGGGATCCCTGTCAGGTCCGGCAGATCTGACAGGAGGGCCGCCGGGAAGGGATTCCTACCCAGCGAGATGACCGCCTTGGCCTCAAGGTAGGAGTCCGTGAGGGATGTGAGGTCGTCCATACTGAAGTCCCTCCATGCCGTTGTCGGCTCGAAGACCCCAGTCTCAATGGCGACCCGGACCTCACTAGGCCACGCACTGAAGGGAGGCGCGATGGGCTCGAGCATTCTGGTTTCGAGGGAGCCCTTCGCCTGTCTGGCTTGGTGTTTCGCTTTCGCCTCCTCCGCAGTGGTCTGGGCCTGGAGGAGCTCCGGTGTGGGTCTCCCCCAGTCCGCACCCAGCTTGTCCAGCAGCTTCTCACGGAAGAGGTCCAAGTCCAGGTTCTTCAGGAGCAGGCCTCCATCACCTCCTCCGTCAATGGCCCCCCCTTGAAGTTCGTGGAGGACCGCCGCGGAGCGCTCCACCGCTTCCACCTGGTCCGCCTTCTTGGCCTCCTCCTGGGCGATGGTGGTGGCGTTGAGCCGGGTCTGAATCTTGAAGGCCTTCACCGCAGACGGGTGGAAGGCTCTGCATTCCTGGCCCTCTTCCTTGTCGCCTGGCAATGGGGGCCTCTCCCCCGGTGGGGCCGTCAGAAACTCCTCGTCCAGCTCCATGGGGCAGTTCCTGATCACCGCCCGGACCGAGGAGGGGACGAAGTCCGAGAAGCTGGCCTGGTCCGGGTTCTCGCAGGCCATCGGGTCGGTGGCCAGCTCGCTGACGTCCACCGAGGCACTGAGCTTGAGGTCGCGGGCCCGGTCCGTGTCAGGGCCTTCGGCACCCGCGGACCGGGCCGCCGTCCAGACCGCATTGCCCTGGTCATCCACCGTCAACTGCCAATGCGTGCCCGCCATCTCCAGGGTGGCCGAGTTGGTCGCCGTGTCAATGGGCTCCGTCTTCTTGCCGCACCCCATGCACTTCGTGGCGCCCTTCTTCACCCAGGGCATGGTGCAGCAGGGGCAGATCCAGGATGTGGGCACCTTGCCCAGGGGGCGGTTCTCCAGGCCCCCGTACCCCAAGCCAGCGCGCTTGCCAACCTGCTGTCCCGGGGTGCTGAGCCGGGCCTCATGCTCGTACTTCATCTTGGCGATGTAGAAGGCCTCCACAACGCGCTCCAGGCCCCCCCGCTTGAGTTGGGGGCCCTCAAAGCCTCGCAGGAGCCGCTGGACGTCCTTGGCCTGCAGTCGGCGGAGCCTAGTGGCCGTGGTCGCATCGAAGCAAGGGAAGTCGCCCGCCATCTGGTCGTCGCTGAACTGGTAGAGGCCCTCCGAGACCTTGAGGGCCTTGGTGAACACGCTCCCCCCCGGCGGGGGGGCTGCGGGGTTCTCATCCTCCTCCGAGGACGCCTGCTCCTTGACCTTCGCCATCAGCTCCCGGCGCCTCTGCCACTTGGCGTCTGCCCGGGCATCCAGGCGGGCCTCCTCCAAGCGGGCTGCAGCCGAGGGGGACCTGGGCATCGGCAGCTCCTTCTCGTCCTTCGCCAGGAGCTCCTCCATGGGCACGTCCTCCTCCGGCGGGTTCAGGAGCTCCAGGAACGCCCCTGGGGGGCGTGTCAGGGCCTTCGGCACCTGCGCCACCCCAGGGGCTGCATCTTCCATCGGCTCATCCTCTGCCTTGCGCTTGGCCGGGATAAGGGGGGCCTGCTCCAGCTCATCTGCGCTGGAGAAGAAACGCTCGTCAGGTGCCTGAGGGACCTCAGCAGCCAAAACGGTCCATCCTTCTTCCTCCCTCTTCACGAGGCTCGCCAGGTACTTTGCCATGGAGGCCTTTGCCTTAGCCTTGGCCTCTGCTACCGCGGCACCAGCGTAGGCGGGGGCGTACATGGCTTTGAGAGTAGGGGAAAGAAAGATTTCAAATCACAAGACAAAAGATCAAAAGGTCCACTTGAGCCAAAATGGTGGCCCAAGTGGATACTTATTAAGAGTCAAGACAAGCGACCACCTACGGTTAACGCTTTAGCCCAAAAAAAATAAAACGCTGCTATTCTCCGCTCCCACGCCACTCTCCAGTAGATAGGTCAGGATTTCCTGATAGGTCAGGATTTCCTGTAGCCTTTTTTGCTCCCCGTGACTGCTCCCAATTTGCAAAGTTCAATGATGTCCTGAAGTGGCGTGCGATGCACTTGCTTAGGTTAAATTTATATAATGGGTCACTGTATTCATAAACTGAACTGTGCATTTTGATAGCTCATAGTCTTGGCTAGTGTTTGCTGCTTGGGCATTTGCATGAGTAGCAGCATAGTGGACAGCCTCTTGTGGCATTGATGATCCATCATCGGAAGTGGTTGCTAAAAGCTGTCATAGCTAAAATAATTTCTGCAACTAGCTTGACCTTAATGAAGGAGCACATGCGGCAACAAGGGTCTTGGTTGCACTGGCGCTACAGTTCTAAAACAAACATAGTCTATGCATGTTGGTTGTGGGCACATGTGCATGTGCGCGAATTTCATAGGGTAGAATTAGAATGGGAGAGAAAATTGCTGTGCCCGTGGCCTTGGCGTACAACTAACTGCATTTGTTGAAGGTTAGGCCAATGTGCAGCGTCATCAGGCTGTTGGGTTGCTACTGGTGAGCATAGAGAGTGTATTTAGTTCCAAAAACCTCGCACTGAAATCGTGTTGTCCAGAACATGTAGCGCAGAAACTTTATGTGTTCCATCGTTTCCTGCTTATCAAAGATACGGCTTCTTGCGGTTGGCCAGAAGATATCTACTTCTCAACAAGTGTTTTGATCACCTATGGAGGGCGCAAGTACGCAAGTAGAATAAATTATTGTCTTACCCCCTACCATACCAGCTTGAGCATGCCTCCAGCTACCATAGGAGCTAGAGAACCTATCCCTGATGATGTAGAAATGAAGGTTGCCCACTTGCAGGTGGTTTCCTGATCTACTGGCAATACTACTAGTGATCTGTAGTTCATTCAGCACATCAAGTCCAGCCCCCCTGAAATACCAGCAGCCCATGGCAATTGGACATGTTCCGCCCCCGAGCTCTAGTAGCAGCTTGGTAGTCTATGGTATAATATGTTTTCCTAGATTCATGAATCAGCAGGAAATGCATTCCAATGGAATGCTTGCCGCAAGTTTGTCCACTGCCTTTCAGTGTTTGCATGGATGCGACTGTTTTGTTATTCTGACAACGTGTGTGATGAAGTCACTTGATCAAGGAATGGATTTCCAAGGGATATTATGATTTGTAACTACCTGGGTTGAATGTTATTGAGTCATCGAAGGCCTCTTCATCGTTATCTCGCTGTTCGAGGTGAAGCCTTGACACTTCTGAAATGAAAGTGTACAACACCATGCATCCACATTGCTCGTTGCAGCGGCTTGAGATGAAAACAACTCTTAACACAACGGCTCAAGACGCTGTAAAACCAGGGCCCACAGGGCGTCTCACTCTCTCCCCAAAACCAATCTGCAAAAAAGTCAGTAAGTGGTTAGCCACTTGGGTTTGTTCACCCCAGAATAACAAGGTTGATCCCAAACAAACGGGGGCTTATCAGTGAGTTGTAACCTAGGTTACCACTTGGCCCCACACCCAAGAGCAGGTCTGAACATTGAAAGTCAGCTCCACGCTCAAGTAGCCACCTGTCGGTTGTACATGAGGTTGGTGTTTAACCTACAAACAAGGCTTCTAACCCCCTTACCCCTCTTGTATTTTTGTTTGGGGGGGGCGCCTCAGCGGACATGATCTTGTTGTACTCCTCAGAGATGGAGTTCTCAGTGTCCTTCACCTGTGCGCAAAATAAGTACAGGAATCGATGGGCGCGTGTTATCTTGGGTCGCTGCCCTCCGTTGCCGAAAGGACCTGGAAATACTAGGTTGGCCTTTTGGAATCTTGACCAAATACGGACCAAAGCAAGAAAGCCAAAAGGTAAAAACGTCGTCTTTGGGCAAGTATGTGAGAAAACGAAAAGGACAACTATGCGGACCTGGGTTGCCACATACTTGTGACTGCAGGAATCGATTGAAAACATATCGGGGAGAAGACCCCAGCTCAGCACGCCTCGTGTGGCGTTTACTCGTGTAGCGTTTGGGAGACAAACTTGATTGACTCTCTCGGGAATCGCGTGAGAGGTTTTCTTGAGGAACCTGGGGCCTGGGGCATTCCTAAGTTGGTGCTTCCCGCCGGCTGAACCCCTAGAGTGGGGAAAATGAAATCCACCCTTTTCGCGGAGTTGAAAGGGACACCCTGTTGCCGCCGCCTTTTGAGGGAGTTTGGCATATGCGTGAGGAACTCGATTTGGGGTTCGCACTGAACCATTTCCCACTGAAATGGCTTCTTACTGTGGATGGTTGCGAAATCCATTCGCACCTCCTAAGAAGCCATGATTGAACCCATAACGTTTTGTTGGTATTCGCCAGGGCGAATCGCATTCTAGCGTTTCTGAAAGGTGGTGCGCGAAGTGGATTTCGCGACCATCCACAGCACCAAACCCTCCCTCACATTGGAATATCAGAGTTCGCAACTTGAAAACACCGCCCAACAGCAATCCCCAATTGTTCACATTGCCCTTATTTGATGGTCTGGTTTGGGGACTGACCCCAGGAGGTACCTTCCCCAGTTGGTTGCAAAAGCGCCGATCCAAACCACCAATTCAACCAACAAAACATCTCTCATTTGTGATGTCCCTTCCAAAACACCAGCCAAGAAAATGTCCCCAATTTGTGGCTTTCCGAACAAAAACACAACCGAACGCGGTCCAACCAATTTCACACACACACTCACATGCGCAAACACACACACACACTCACACACACACACACTCACACACACACACACACACACGCACACACTCACACACACACACACACATGCACACCTTTGCGCCGGCATTTAAAAACAACCTCCGGGAAACACAACATCCCCAACAGCAAGTCCGGAACCCTTGCAGAGAATCACAGCTCCGAACCGGGGGCAAAGACCGCAAAGCCGAGAACTCAGGGGGCAAGCCTTTCGTCACCAGGGGTTGCAGGGGAAAAACAACAGAAAACTTAATGTTGTTTATGGGAGGTCTGGAAAGGAACTAAACATTCTCTTCTGGCGTCCTTTTGGGTAAATTAGAAGATATGGTTGCTATTGATAGCACCTAGCCTGTCCCAAAAGTAAAGCGATTTACCTAGCCGCGCATCAAGCTGTAGCTTCCCTTGTCGCGTCCGGGATTATTCTCTTCAAAAAATGTGCCAATCCCTTGGGAAGATGTGTGGTCTCTGAAATGAAGGATCGTTGAAGGGCATGGGAAAACAATCCTTGCACAACTTGCAACCCAACCTTTTAGCACCCATCAAATAAAGCCACCCCCATTCCCTCCGCCCCCCAAACACCCCCAGACACCCCCAAACACGCCCAGATTACCCCCAGTTCGGTCCCTTGAAACAAATGCCTCCTCTGCGTAGAATTCAATGCTGTCCACCTTCTTCGGCACCTCAACAGCGGTGGTGCAAAAGAAACCCACAACCACATGGCCATTGGTCAAAAGCCCGTACCCCCAGTGAACATCCCAATCCCCACTAAAACAGACTAAAACGGGTGGTGCACCTACAGCAAAATGGTACCTTTGGTTTTGACCACAACCACATGTGGGGTTCGGGATTCCTATTCAGAGACAAACCCGAGCGTTGTGGAAAACCGGCACCTTGCGCAGGCGAGGGGGTGTCATGAATATGATCTATAGCATAGACAATAACTCTATATCTGACAATGGGACTGGTAAAGTCATGAAAGGCGCAGATCTTTCAAACCCGACGCTAGCCCAGCTTTTTGGGGGGCGAGAGGCGGGTGGGCACACCAAAAACCCGCCCCAAGGCCTAGAGGTGTTTTCACTCAGCTCGTTTTCCGGCAAGGGTTGGGTTTGTCTCAGAATAGGAGTCTCGGACCTCCGCAATGCAATCTGGTTGTGATTGGCCAACACCCCAATATGCCCAAGCATGACCACATATATGCAGAAAAGAGTTGAACTAAAAGTAATCATGAGAACAGACCACTTCCCGTAGTGCACACATGTCCTACTCGTGATTCAGCGCTTTCTACAGTAGACAATGGTAAACATGATATGTCCTGAAATCAAAGGCAGCTGATCTTGCAACCAGTGGCATGACGATATATATATATATATTCCTACACGAATGGTCGTTTCGCTCAGGGATATAACCTGCATGTTTTCTTCAACTTGCGCCGAATCATTGAATCCCCTGCCCAGTGACCCAAGGCACCAAACGGAAAGGGATTTGGAGGCCACTGAACCTCTCTAGCACTGGGGTCATTGTCATTGATCAGCTTTCGAATGAACATTTGGGGCCATACGGAGAAATTTCCAGGAAGCTGTTCCTTCTGGCTACCTGAAGGTTCAAAAAAACAGGAAACCCAAAAATGGCTTGAGAAATGGAATCTCTGACTTGGACCCTGATTTCATGGAATCTCGGACTCGGAACACTTTGCATTCTGGGCTGTCCGTTTTCAGATCTGCCAAAATCTCTCAACTTGGGTGAAGTTCGGAACCCCAACCACAACATCAACTAAAACCAACCGAACACCTCAGGAATCGAATGGCTGGGAACCACCCAGCATTTAGAGTGGCCTTCTGAAAACTTCCATGTTAGGCATTCCATGTGTAGAAAGGAACGCCGCCGGAAGAGGTAGGCGCGTCGGCGGCGATTGATTTATCCTGTTCCAGAAAGCCAAATATTTTGAGATAAAACTCATCTTGTAACCCCCAACAACGGCTTAAACTTAACACATTCTCACCTGTTGGTCTGTTTCAGTTTTTAGTCTTGCCCACGAAGGAAGGGTCTGTTTTAGTTATTCCCAACAGAGTTGGGAGGGTCAGGGATTGAAATGTCCCGGGCTTTTGTTGGTCTCGCCCGGTTTGCTAGCCGAGCCTTGCCCACTTCCACATGGTGGTGCGTTGGCCTCTCACCCTCCTGCCAAACGACCAAGCTGGGACTCAGGGCGTGAAGTTTCATGGGCCCCGGAATTTGTGGACATCATTTGCCCCAAGGCTCCGATCGGGTTCTGCATACCAAGCAAGCCCCAGGGCCCTTAGGGAATGTCCAGCAAGCCCGTTTCAGAGGTTTTCCTAATGACATTAAATTAAAAAAACTCATAGCCATGTGCCTTGCTCAACAGCTGACAACCAGGGGGTCGAGAAAGACCCCGGCGCTCCTCCACATACACCTTGGCTATTTCTGCGTGGCTCTGCGAGTTAACAAATGGGTTCCGCAAAATTGGATGCAAATTGCAAACTGGAACCTGCCTATTAGAACCGATTCCAAGCCTCCCCGAACGTATTTGAGATTTCTTTTCAAAGCTCCATGACCTAACCATTGGACTCAGGGCCCCACAGAGCCAGGAGTTGCTTCATCACTCCAAGCTCGAGGAAACTAAGGCGTCCAGTTGCTTAAAGTGATGGATTCCCGTAAAGCCAACAAGGACAAGCAAATGGAACCAGGCTACCGAATTCGTGAAGTCCATTTCCAAGCTACCAGACCAACTTGACTCGAAGCTTGTTTGCGCATAACGCTTCGCAGGTGAAGCTAAGTGGTTAGCAGCCCCAAAACTTCTCGTCGACCACCCTGCAAAGCCTGCTACGCTTGTGATGCAACCCATTTTGCCCAGCATCTAATGGAAACGCAGCTCCTTCTCGAACTGAAACTCGGCTTGCTGCTTTGCGTCCGCCAACTTCTGCCTGAAGCACCCGTCCCAACCCAGGATCCCCTCAGGCGGATGGTGACACGAGTCCCCTTCTTCGGTGTATCTACCTAGAGTCTCCATGATCCTTAAAAAATGCGGTCATTACCCTAAATAATGGGGTCATGGACCTATTTTTAAAGGGTCATGGAGACTCCAGGTACCCTGCCCCCGCAAGAAAGAAACATGGGAGCCCCAGGCGGTGAGGAGCGGACACACCTTCACCTCCCAAAGGCCAAGCAGCCCAGAGGGAGCCCAGTGGAGTCATGGCATCATCTAATGTGTCAAAAGCTGGGGACCCGAGCGAAAGAAACGGGCTTTGGTGTTGGCTTCCCTTAAAACTCACTCCCTGAGTGCGTAGGGAAGTGAGCAAGTAGCTTGTTTTGTTTGCTGCAACAGTTTCCCCATGATCGGTTTTTCCATTTCGCCAAATATTGGCTCCCTATGACCATCTGGCTTCCCCAAAAAATAAGCCAACCAATCTGCAACAAAAGGGTACGTGAATGTTTGGCCAAGTTATTGTCTGTGGATAGCCACCTGGGCCTTGTTCACCCCCTGATAACAAGGCGCATCCCACTGCACAGGGGGCGTATGATTGGGGTATAACCCAGGTTACCAACAACTCGTTAACTTGGCCCGAACACCAAAGGACAGGTCTTAACACTAAAAGTCAGCTCCAGGCTCAAGGAGCCACCTGTCGGAAATGCAGTGTATGGTGTTGGAGAACCTACCAACCTAAGCTCTGAGTAGGTGAAAATACTGAAGGGTTACCGATACAACTTACCAACTTTGCGGAATCGAGGACCCAAGTACCCACCCCACCATGGTTTCTTGGGTGGTGCAAAATGGATTTTGTCCATCCACAGTACGACCACAGATGCTTGGCTTTTCAAACGGGAAGTCAACCAATCTGAAGGGGCACCCCCGCTTCCAGCCTCACGGAGACGAGGTACTCCAGGTGTTTAGTCTTCTTCACCAGGTGAACCTCCTGGGCAAAAAAGGTGAAGATTGCAACCTAGGGCATCCATATTCTAGAGGTTGATTCCCAATCATCTTCATCGTTCTCTTTAGAAACCACCCATCTTCTTCTGGAAGAGAATGGGAAAGGTACGGTTAGACATATGGGTGGTTCCTTTTGAGGCTACCCTTTTTTCTCACTTCCTGGGTGGATTGGCCAAAGAAAATGCCAAGCCTTTTTGTTTGCCACGAATCGAACGTGTTCTTCCCAGTCTTCCCAAAACCAAAATAAGTCCAGGAACTCTGGCAGTGAGTTGTTAACTCATGTCAAAGGAAAAGCAAAAGGGGCACCACAATTTAAATCTGATGGGGTCCCCTATCTTAAGACAAACTCACACGGGAAAGAACGCGCGCCTGTGCTTCTATGTTTAGCTGAGTTCCACCGTACCGAATTGCCGGCTGGGCTTCAGACTTCAGCAAATTATTCCTGCAATTCCGTGCACATGTGTACGGCCAAAGTACGACGGCAAGAACTGACCCGCAAACAAAAGACAAACAAACAAACAAACAAACAAACAAACAAACAAACAAACAAACAAACAAACAAGCAAGCAAGCAAGCAAGCAAGCAAGCAAACAAACAAACAAACAAACAAACAACACACACAAACAAACAAGCACATGCAAAGCAAGGACAGTTTTCGCGGGTTGATAGTGAGCAACAAGCGGCGGCCTCTGGAGAAAGGCTTGATTGCCGTCCTCTGCCCCCACCCGTTGAACCAACCACATCACCCCGCTTCCAAAATGCCTCAGCGAGCTTCATCAAACAGTATCGATCTTTAGGGCAATTTCCTTCGGAGGTTGTGCACCCTGTCTCCGTAACCATAAAATGCTCATGTGGCTGTGTCTCAAGACTGGGGACCAGGCTCTTGAATTAAATTTGCTTAAAATTCTGACATTCTGCATGAGGTGAGTCACAATCAACACCTGGTGGCTGTTTGGCACTGCCTACCCATTTTGATCTTGGTTTCAGGGGCAACCAAATGCAACTCACCCTTTTCAAATTGGGGCGCCCGGTCACAAATCTACACCTACCAAAAGGGTCTAGTGTCAATCCAATGCGAAGCATAAGGGTTTTACTGTCGCACGGGTGAAAACTGGTCAAAGGAAGTTTAACAAGAAACTTCCGTAGTACTGGAACTAAATGAGCTAGCTGCTTTGACATATAGCTATGACAGGTAGCTAGCATGACAAATAGATAGCTTTGACATATAGCTAGCTTGACAGATAGATAGCTTTCCAATAGGCTAGCATGACAGATAGATAGCTTTGACATATAGCCAGCTTAACACATAGATAGCTTTCTCAAGTATCGATTTCGTGGCAGGCGCAGCACTTTCGCAGCACTTTCGCAAGGTCAAGTATCGATTTCGTGGCAGGCGCAGCACTTTCGCAAGCACTCTCTGCGAGCTGGGGGATGGCAAGATGCAGAAAACGTTGGCGCTGTGCGTGAATTGGGCTTCCGGATGCGCAAAGACGCCTGTACGGAGAAAACGTTGGGTGTGGCAAAGGTTTCGCAAAGGCCTCGGCTCGCAACGGCTGGCACGCGGTGCGAGCTGGCAAGATGCAGAAAACGTTGGCGCTGTGCGTGAATTGGGCTTCCGGACTGTGCGCAAACCACCTCGGCTGCGACGGTCTCGGAACGGGTCGGAACGGTCTCGGAGACGGGCCCATTGGCACGGCCGCGCGAAGGTTTCGCAAGGTTTGAATTGCGTGGCAGGCGCAGCACTTTCGCAAGGTCAAGTATAGATTTCGTGGCAGGCGCAGCACTTTCGCAAGGTCAAGTATCGATTTCGTGGCAGGCGCAGCACTTTCGCAAGCACTCTCTGCGAGCTGGGGGATGGCAAGATGCAGAAAACGTTGGCGCTGTGCGTGAATTGGGCTTCCGGACTGTGCGCAAACCACCTCGGCTGCGACGCCTGTACGGCGGCGGTCTCGGAACGGGTTCGGAACGGGTGCGGAACGGTCTCGGAGACGGGACCATTGGCACGGCCGCGCGAAGGTTTCGCAAGGTTTGAATTGCGTGGCAGGTGCAGCACTTTCGCAAGGTCAAGTGTAGATTTCGTGACAGGCGCAGCACTTTCGCGAGGTCGAGTACAGATTTCGTGGCAGGCGCAGCACTTTCGCAAGGTGCTGCGTCCACTTTCTGCGAGCTGGGGGATAGCAAGTTGCAGAAACGTTGGTGCCATGAGCTAGCTGCTTTGACATATAGCTATGACAGGTAGCTAGCATGACAAATAGATAGCTTTGACATATAGCTAGCTTGACAGATAGAAAGCTTTCCAATAGGCCAGCATGACAGATAGATAGCTTTGACATATAGCCAGCTTAACACATAGATAGCTTTCCAAAGACTAGCATGACAGATAGATAGCTTTGACATATAACCAGCTTGACAGATAGATAGCTTTAAGATACATGGATGTGCGCGAAAAAAGCTACGAGAAAAGCTGAAATCAGGAGAGCTGGGGGATAGCAAGTTGCAGAAACGTTGGTGCCATGCGTGAATTGGGCTTCCGGACAGTGCGCAAACCACCTCGGTCGCGACGCCTGTACGGAGGCGGTCTCGGAACGGCGGTCTCGGAACGGTCTCGGAACGGTCTCGGAGACGGGACCATTGGCACGGCCGCGCGAAGGTTTCGCTAGGTTTGAATTGCGTGGCAGGTGCAGCACTTTCGCAAGGTCAAGTATAGATTTCGTGGCAGGCGCAGCACTTTCGCGAGGTCGAGTACAGATTTCGTGGCAGGCGCAGCACTTTCGCAAGGTGCTGCGTCCACTTTCTGCGAGCTGGGGGATAGCAAGTTGCAGAAACGTTGGTGCCATGCGTGAATTGGGCTTCCGGACAGTGCGCAAACCACCTCGGTCGCGACGCCTGTACGGAGGCGGTCTCGGAACGGTCCCGGAACGGTCTCGGAACGGTCTCGGAACGGTCTCGGAGACGGGACCATTGGCACGGCCGCGCGAAGGTTTCGCTAGGTTTGAATTGCGTGGCAGGTGCAGCACTTTCGCAAGGTCAAGTATAGATTTCGTGGCAGGCGCAGCACTTTCGCGAGGTCGAGTACAGATTTCGTGGCAGGCGCAGCACTTTCGCAAGGTGCTGCGTCCACTTTCTGCGAGCTGGGGGATAGCAAGTTGCAGAAACGTTGGTGCCATGCGTGAATTGGGCTTCCGGACAGTGCGCAAACCACCTCGGTCGCGACGCCTGTACGGAGGCGGTCTCGGAACGGTCCCGGAACGGTCTCGGAACGGTCTCGGAACGGTCTCGGAGACGGGACCATTGGCACGGCCGCGCGAAGGTTTCGCTAGGTTTGAATTGCGTGGCAGGTGCAGCACTTTCGCAAGGTCAAGTATAGATTTCGTGGCAGGCGCAGCACTTTCGCAAGGTCAAGTGCCAAATTCGTGGCAGGCGCAGCACTTTCGCAAGGTCAAGTACAAAATTCGTGGCAGGCGCATCACTTTCGCAAGGTCAAGTACAGAATTTGTGGCAGGTGCAGCACTTTCGCAAGGTCAAGTGCAAAATTCGTGGCACGCGCAGCACTTTCGCAAGGTCAAGTACAGATTTTGTGGCAGGCGCAGCACTTTAGCAAGGTCAAGCACAGATTTGGTGGCAGGCGCAGCATTTTTGCAAGGTCAACTTTCGCAGCCGGGGCTCGAAAATCGCAACTTTTAAGTACGAAAGTAGTACGCGAAGTCAACTTTCGCAGCTGGGGCTTGAAAATCGCAACTTTTAAGTACGAAAGTAGTGCGCAAAGTCCACTTTCGCAGCCGGGGCTTGAAAATCGCAACTTTTAAGTACGAAAGTAGTACGCAAAGTCCACTTTCGCAGCTGGGGCTCGAAAATCGCGACTTTTTAGTACGAAAGTAGTACGCGAAGTCCACTTTCGTAGCTGGGGCTCGAAAATCGCAACTTTTAACTACGAAAGTAGTACGTGAAGTCCAGTTTCGCAGCTGGGGCTCGAAAATCGCAACTTTTAAGTACGAAAGTAGTACGCGAAGTCAACTTTCGGGGATTGAACATCGCAACTTTTAAGTGCAGAGAAAGATGGGTAGATAGATAGATCAATAAACAGATATAGAGATAGCTAGAGAAATAGATAGAAAGAGATAGAGAAACAGAGATAGACAGAGATAGATAGATTTGTAGATAGATAGACAAATAACTAGCTAGATAGATAAAGAGATAGAGAGATAAATAAATAGAGAGGTAGATAGATAGATAGGAGATAGAGAGGTAGATAGATAGGTAGATCTATAGATAAATCGCAACTTTTAAGTACGAAAGTAGTACGCGAAGTCAACTTTCGCAGCTGGGGCTTGAAAATCGCAACTTTTAAGTACGAAAGTAGTGCACAAAGTCCACTTTCGCAGCCGGGGCTTGAAAATCGCAACTTTTAAGTACGAAAGTAGTACGCAAAGTCCACTTTCGCAGCTGGGGCTCGAAAATCGCGACTTTTTAGTACGAAAGTAGTACGCGAAGTCCACTTTCGTAGCTGGGGCTCGAAAATCGCAACTTTTAACTACGAAAGTAGTACGTGAAGTCCAGTTTCGCAGCTGGGGCTCGAAAATCGCAACTTTTAAGTACGAAAGTAGTACGCGAAGTCAACTTTCGGGGATTGAACATCGCAACTTTTAAGTGCAGAGAAAGATGGGTAGATAGATAGATCAATAAACAGATATAGAGATAGCTAGAGAGATAGATAGAAAGAGAGAGAAAGAGACAGAGAAACAGAAAGAGAAAGAGAAAGAGAAAGAGAGAAAGAGAGAAAGAGAGAAAAAGAGAGAGAGAGAGAGAGAGAGAAGCAAGGGGCCAAGGACAGTTCTCCAAACTATAGTTGTTCACTGCTTTGAAACTTCCGCCCCCCGGCTCTGCCGGACCTTACTTGTAGATGGAGCCAGGCAAAGCTTAGATGTTCGTTGCCAAGGTGGTAAGTGGCTGTGGGTCAAAACCAATGGTACCATTTTGGGGTAGCTGCACCGCCCATTTTAGTCTATTTGAGTGGGGATGTTCAAAGGGGGTACGGGATTTTGACCCACGGCCAAGTGGTTAGCCGCCAGGGTCTCAATGAATTAGCAGCAGGGTCAACTCCACTTGCCTTAAGGGTCCGATCGATGGAATTTGGGGAATTCCTCAAATAGGGCCTTCTGACACCCCTGAAACAACTCGGAAGGGGAACCCCCGGGTTCTGCATGCCAAGCCCCAGGACCCTTAGGGTGGTAGGACTCATAAGTGGGTTGTAACCAAGGTGGTCTCGACTTCAGATGCTTCAAGGGAAGCGCTGAAGGTCTGTGCGACAACAAGGTCTTGTAATATCCACCTGAACATCACCTTACCTTCCCACAAAAGACAGGTTCCAACATGGCGGTTTCCGCTTGGTGGAAAAAGGATAATGCCATACTTTGCAACACCAAAGACAGCCTGCCGAGCGTGCCTCCACCACATCCAAAGACAGCGCCTTGCCAAAGAACTCCCGAACCTGAATCCCATAGCCGTTGCTTGACGTATCTACTCTACAAAACCCGCCATGTTCTCAGTTCACGGTTCCATGTTCAAAGGGCTTGGAAATAAAAGGTTAACGTTGTTGGGGCCATTACTAAAACTTGACCAACATTGGAAAACCAAAAGGTCAAAATGGTCGGCTTGGGGCAATTGAGTTTTGTTGGTGTACTGTAAACATTTGGAACAAAGTGGATTTCTGTGATAAACATCTCCTGTTTTAGTTGTGGAGTAGGGGTATGTTGAGATCAGGGCTTCCTCTGAGTTTGTTTGGGTTGTGTACACCATGCAAAGTGACGGAAGGATCCCCAAAACAATAGTCCCCAAAAACCGCTGCCTCAGTGTGAACATGTGTTTCCCCAAACACCACTGCACACATGTATGAGTACCTGCTTCTCACTGCCATGGATCGGCTAAAACAAGTCCAAAACTGTTTGTTTGCCACTGGGGCGGTCTTTCAAACAAAAAAAGTCGCATACCTCAGAAAATAGGGGTTTGTATATGTGCATGTGCCGGCATACAATCCGGCATGCCATCTTTACAACCCTTGGTATGGGATTCTAAGAAACTCACTGTTCTGTCCCGCCCCCTAAAAATGACCAGGCAAAAGAACAAACAAACTAACTCCTTGATCCAACAACGGTGAAGTTACGCTTCGCCTCCGGCGACAACCTGCACCCCCGCGCGGCTTGGTTAAGATCGGATCGGATCATCGGAGCTCTCTAAGCGGCTTCGGAGCTTCGGAGCCTGCCAACGCATCCCCCACCTTCTCGTCTGACTTGAAGGCTTCCGGAATTCCCTCCACCATAACCGTCCTGCGGACGGTCCCTCACCTAGTTCTTGGTGCAGGTAGGGAATGACCGGTTTTGCGGGTGTTGGGAATGAACCGGAAGGGGATTCCCTGAAAGGAAACCATGGGGGGTGACTTGTTGGGGGCATTCCCTCATTCCCTGCTGAGAACCAGCAAGCTTTCGATCGAGCGGAGCAGCCAAAAAAAAGCATGAAATTGCAGAAAAGTCAAATTCAGGGGGCTACTCCCCGACAGTTTCACGGAAGGAACCCAATAGCCCACCATTTTTAGAGGAAGAAAGTTCCTTTATCAAAATGGTGCCTTCTGTGGGGTTCCATGTCAAGCTAGAAGGTGGCTTTGTCGGAGATTGGATAAGCCCAGAATAAGCCAAGGATAAGCCCTTAATAAGGCCATAAAGGGATTATTAAGGGAGTTATGCCCCCCCTCCCCAGTTCGTCCATGATCTTTACTTTGAAACGGGCACTTCCAGGCCCAACGAGTAATTCATTCACACTTCCTGCTAGCGTGGAACAGGCAGGTGGGTAATTTTCCCACGTTATGCTAGCCCCATGACAACTTGATGAATTCAGCGGCGGTTTTCCAGCTATCACAGAAACTGGCCGAGGACTAAGTCTTGCGCAGCCACAATGCTTGACTCACAACTGGAAGGCATGGAAAGCTAAGCCCTGCAGCAACCGGGTAAGGGTTGCTGGCAGCCAACACAGGTGCAGCCGGGTGGATTGACCGAAACAAAGGTCGACTTCCCGCCGAATCCGTGGAAGACAATACACGCAAGAAAGAAGCACTGAAACGGGTGTTTGAAAAAACTCCCAAATGGATGCACTGCAAATCATGCTGCTTGCCAGCTGGCTGCGATAAGTTCTCTTGAGCCAATTGACCTTTGGACCTACTATGCCAAGGCCTGCCCTTAAAAGAATTTGGGCTTCCTTTCCGTTGTCCTTGAATATGAGCACGCAAAGGGTAGCCCAAAAAAAACGAGCCACCCATATTGGTGATATAATCCCCATGAAACCAGTCGCGGCCAATGGATCCCATGTCGCTCACTTGTTGCAATCAATCATGCTCAAGGTCGAACGCCAATTCCAATTGGGCTGTCCGTTCTCTGATCCCCTGCTAAAAGGAAACCCAAACGCTAAACCCAAAACATGCAAAACTACCTAAGGGAATGGCTGGGAACCACCAAGTGAAGTGCAACCAAGAAAAACAAAAACACGCTTCACAAATGGAAAAATGGTTCAGAAGGGGCTCCAACATGAAAACGCTCTCATTTGGAAGCCTCCCTGGTTTGGATACCACAGGAGCCTCAGGACGTGAGCACGATCAGCCGAACATCTGCACGAAGCCGAATAGTCCCAACTTCAACGCAGCCGCGTCGGTAACGTTCTGACAGAAAACAACAACCCATACCAAATAAGAAGGCTGGCATGAAGGAGGTGACCGATTTTGGTCGACCGCTTTTGCCTTTTCTGACGATGGGGTTCCCTATATTTCCCCTTCAAACATTGCCCCTAACTACCCAAATATAAAAATAAAAGGTGATGTTGACAACCTGCCAAAGGGAAATCGCGCTGGACCGCTGTTTGAAGGGGCGAGTACGACACCTGATACCTCCTAAACTGGAGGCTGAAACTGTGGTCGGCAAAAACCGAGGATGGACGAACCGGACCATATGGGTTTGCTGCATTTTGATGCATCCTTTTTGAAGGAGGGGGACGATTTCAAGGCAACCCACGGCTCCTAGATCTGGGATGGGGCAGCCGCTTGAGCCACTTGAAGCGCCGCTCCAGAAATCCCTCCTGTGCATCCGGACCGAATCGAGCTGTCTTTTTGGGGTCTCTCGCCCTTTTTCTGTGGATCCGATGGATGACTTTATGCACCAAATGGTTGGAGTGGTTTATCCAGTGCACTCCTGGGGGGGAGCCTTTGGACATCATTTTGGGTGTGTCTGTTTTGGGGAACTCCCCTTTTTCGCGGTTTAAAGGGGAACCAAAAGGAAAGCCGAAGCCATTTTGGTGGGACACCTCTACAGACAACACTTTGGTTTCCAATTTACCCTCAACAGGAACCTCAAATCCAAATCCAAACCTCCAATCGAAACCACCAACTAAAGGGTGACCTGAGAAAACAAATGTCCACAGTCCGCCAAACCCACGTTTGGGCCAACAGGACGCCCAGTCAAGCCATAACAAGGCACACGATGGGAACACGCGACGTTTCAAGCGTAAAGGGGGAACAAGGGAGAAGCAAAGGGCGACAATTCATCCCCAAATTTCCAGTAACCAACCACGAGCCATCAATAATTTAGCCGTGTACCATGGTTGTCCAATTGTTCCTGTGAATAGTTTCATGTGTTAAATGGTTGTGTTTCTTTCGTGGTTGTCTCATGCGTTGTTCTGTTTGACCAATATGAAGGGGACCTGTGGCCCTCAAGATGGTGTTTACCGACCTGACAATGTGGTACCTCAAAAACCCCCGGAACGAACCTCCCCGCTGGGCCAATCACCACATGCCACCCAATTTGTGCGCATTGCAGAAACAAAACAACGTCAAAACAAGCATGTAACAAGAACACAACCATACGTAGGACAAACACGAAAATGAAACACAACATGACACAAGTTGACTGCACAAAAACAAACCCTAGAACATACATAACTACCATGTGCTTACAGAACTCCTAGTAGCTCATTAGCTCCCTCTTTCAAAGCAAATGTGGATACCCCCAGCTTGCCATCTTGATAATGCAGCAAAGCAAGGGGCAGCTTAAGTCTCCTCTCTGGTTGTTTCTTGACATGCAGACTTCCATTTGCTTCTTCGGCGCCCTGGCAAAAACCAAAACAAACAGTTGCAGTCATACATGCCCTTTAAAACCGGCAAGGTAAACACACAAAAAGACACGTACTTTTCAGCAAATGGAGGCCCTGAGGTGCAGCACCATCCCCCAAAGCAAAATAATTACAATAGGTCGCGTGTATTCCGGGATGTCGAAACCGAAGAAAACCCAAAGAATGGAAATCAAGTCAACCACTTGCTGAAATGACTATTTCTTATGTACCCTTGTTGGCTTTAACGGGAATCCATGACTACTTAGTCTCATTTGTTCCAGCATATCCGCCACATGGAAGAAACGAACAGGGAGACCAACCACTCTTCTGATCTCTTGTGGTTTACCCAACGAGGCTTGGAGCCGTGCCAAAGACGTGGGGCCGTTGGGAGGGGTTTTTAAACGCTGCCCCAACGTCAGCTCAGCGCCTGGGCAGTGTACACGGCGCTCTTCACGACCCAACAGACGTAGGCGACAAAGAGGCCGTGGACGTAGTAGAGCCAAGGATGGCTTATGATCACGTTGCCTCCGCAGGAAAAAGCAAAAAAAAACAGAACGCGACCAGCTAAGAGAAGGACAACAGGGGCTCCCTTGGCCAGGAAAACCAGTCAAGATTGGGAGTGGGACGGGTCATCCTCTGGTTCCGTGGACAAAACCCCAGCCTAATCCGCCCCGCGCCCCCCGCGGAAGGCCCTGAAGAGAGCTGGGTATTTAAAGTAGCTTTGTAAGGGAACCAGAGTTCTGCGTAAATCTTACTCAAGACCTGCCCCTCCACCCATCTTGAGCCCAACGTCTATATCGAAAAGTCGCTTTCCGTCATTCTGCTATAATTGAAAAAGATACAGGTCTTGACCTAAGGAAAGGTGAGAGAAATTGATCGCAAAGACAAATAACACAAAATCCCAAGGGAAATGATGACTGAGAAATTGGCGGGATACTGAGCAACCCCAAATGATCCTCTGCCAAATCTACAATAATCCTGAAATGAAATACAAAGCAAGGACCCACATCACACATCATGGGCCCCCAAGTTGTCTGAAATCCATGATCCCCGCCCAAAAACCCTGGACATAAGAGGATGATCTTTTGGAAGCGTGCCTAGGTATGGACCCAAACAAGGAAATTGAAAGGTCAAAAGGTCCAATTAGTTGTAAGTGAGCCAAGTAGGGGACCTACATGGCTTCCGGCAAGCACCCGATTCTCAGTCCAGTTGCGGATGGGCAAAGGGGTGGATGATGATCCGACGGGATCTCTACCCCCCAACAAAAACACAGAAGTGTTTCCTGTTGGTGTTCCTTTAAAGCCACCAAAAAAAAGGCACTCTCATTTTCTTGACAACCCAATATACGTACTGATTTACTGTGGTATACGGAAGTGTAGTTGTACAAGTTAGAATCATACGTATCTGGGGGCACACCAAAGACCAGCCACACCGTTCTGAAACTTACACAAACTCGTGCGCCTTGCGTCTGTTGTGTCAGGCTGGAAACCGTGAAACAAGGGTCCACCCTGAAATCTTGCATAAACTGGGCTGTCCCTCTTCTGATCCCCTGCTAAAAGTGACTAACTTTTAGTGGGTTAAACGGAAATCCCCACTAAACACTAAAAGGCCAAAAAAGCTAAGGGGATGGCTGCGAACCACCAAGTAAACAGTTATTTTTGTTGTGAGGTCTCTTCACCCAAAAATGCAGGCTAGATGACTCCAGCAGTTGTCCTCATGTTTTCCCGACCCTGCATGGTGGCTTCTCGCAAGCAATTCCTAAGGAGAAAAACATGGAACGGCGATGGACAATAGGAAAAACATGGGAAAAGTGGTAGGAATTGCATTGGAGTGGAGGAAGGGCCAAATGGACAAAAAACATAGGAAAACCATGCAAAAACTCAGCCTCCCCCAAATCACCAATCTAAAGACCAATAAACCGGTAGAACCATGGTGGAATTCCAAACAGCTTATTGAAACGGCCCTGCTTGAACAAACAATGATGTTTGCGTATGGCTGACCAACCTCATGGAACATATTGAGACATATTACCAGTTGGTCATCTTCCTTGACCCATGGCCATGCGAAACAGGGATCGATGTCTGGTTCATGGCTGTTTGTTGTTGTTTGGTGTAGCCAAAAGCTGGCAACGTGTGGCAGCCTGGCTTTCCTCGTGTTTCTTTGCAAATGCAGCTCTTGAACAGCCCCTCGGAAGCCCTTTCCAAGAAACACCAAACCGCCATGAGCGCTCGCTGCCAGAGGCTCACGCTTTCCAAAAGAGAAACCCACAGGTCCGGGGCGCAAAGCGGATCAGGCTTGTGGGTACCCCTTTTTGGGCTGTCAAGGAAAACCAAAGGGACACCACTATTTTCATTTTATTGATTTGCTTGCGGTGTTTTTCTTTTGGGGGGCACCCGCGACCCATGCAGTACCTAGAATGACAAGAGACCAGTTTGGCTCTGGTTTTCTTCTCATCGCCGAGCCGCTCATGCCAAGGCGGCTCAAGCTGGGCACATCAGGCCCCCCCCAGCCGAAGAACAAGTGCAGGGGGGTCAGCACGCAACAGCCCACCACGCCCACGCGCATCAGGATCCTCACATCAAATGGGACGGGGGGGGAGTTGGCTTTATTTGCTTATTTGCTTGTTTGCTTGTTTTGTTTAATTTGCTTGTTTGGTTGGTCGTTCTTTGATGTGTTTTGTGTGCGCGTGCGTGTGTGTGTGTGTGTGTGTTCCGTGCTTATGTTGTTTGCTTTTGTTTTTTGTTTGGGGGGGAGACAAAGGTATTTTGTCATGTTGTGCTGCGTGGATCTAAGGATCTACTTGCATACCCAAAATGAACATACCCGCCTGTAAGCCATACCCGCCTGCAAGCCATGTGCAGGGGTTGGCTTTTCGGGGATGTGGAAGGCCCCTGTGCAAACCTAATATTGTGCACTTGCAACCACTGAATTGTGTGGTGTATTTGTCCGTTTGGTGTATGCAAGTAAAAACTTAGAACGGAAGGGCGGGGTAGAGTTTGTTTGATTGATTGAGCTCGAAATAAATACCAACAAATATCAATCAAAATAGGACGACCCCACAAATTGTAGTTTTCCTTGTGCCTCCCCTTATAAAAGCAGCCTGCGCAAGGCTTGCTGGGCGCAGAGGGATCAACAACGATTCCTATTTTTGGGGAGCTTGCTTAGGCGGGAATCCGTCTCGTTTGGTCCTGTCCCAATGCCCTTCGGCGGGCAGTAGATTGCTCCGGAATTCGCCCCAACAAGTGCTGGTTTGCTGCTAGTTGTTGGATTGCGTTGCCTAATTGTGCGTGGAGATTGAGTCATTTGATCCCAATGCCCGTTGACTGCACATAGCCATGGTTTCAGCTAAACAAAACATAAGTACCCTCAGGTGCCCAAAGGATCCAGACATATTGTAGTGTTGCAGCAACAGGAAATCCTGCACCACCCAAGAAACCCTGAAATGATTCGATTCCCCTGCAAACAATGACTTCAACCATTGCTTCAAAGTGGTGCGAACGGATTTCGCAACCATCCACAATTGGTGTCCTTCTGGTAAAATAATGGCACTGGTAAATGGAGATCGAACCAACATGCAACCAGCGCCATCGTTATTCAAGCAAACTGACCGAACACCCACAGCCGAGAACATGGCTTGAGGTCATTTCACCGAGCCAAACTGCTGAGCTCGAAACTCATGAAGCCCCGAATTTTTTGGGGGGTACCCGTTTTTGGTGAGTTGTTTCTGGAAGGGTAAAAGGAACACCACCCGAGTTTCAGTAAAGCCGATTTCGGCCAACATCCGGGCGCCACAATGGGCAAGGGGCCAGCCGGAATAGCTGGAAATTATCCCCTTTGTAGTCCTTGTAAGTTCTTGTCTCAAAAGAAGGAGACCCCCCAAACAGAAATGGCGATGGTCAACTTGTTGTTTTCCTTGAGAGCCACACCGGACAACAACAAAACTCATAAGACACCCGAAAGACACCCAAATTGGGCGATTCCACGGCGCTTTCTGCCAGGTTGCTGGATGCACAAGCTAATGAAATCCAGCCTCAAGGGCGGAAGTGGATTTTTGTGAGTCCTAGCTCTATAACTGGGCCACGAAATGAAACCGTTGTAGCCAGAACGTTTGTTGGTATTTACGTGGGGGAATCATCAGAAACCGACGTTTGTTGCTATTTCCGTTGGGGAATCATCAGAAACCAGCTGGTCTCTTAGGTGTAAGACTTTGTCCATCAGTATGACAGAGGCGGGAAAAAATCCATCGACCCCGACCCTGTTGGGTGAGCAGGTCCAGATGCCAACAGAAAAACGAGCACCCGGCGTCGCTCAGTTTGGCGATGCACATCCAAAGAAACACAAACCCGAAACTCCCTTTAAGGGGACACAGGCCCTACACCCCTTTTTGGAAACCCAGCAAGGGACACTTAGTGAGTTGGAGTACCATAGGGAACGGTGCAAGACTCAGCTCACCTTTTGCAATCTTGACCTTTCCGTGCTACAGTGGACCAAAACCTGCACCTCAGAACCCCTAGGATTCGACTCCCCAACGAAAATACCAATCCTTGGGTTTCATTTCACGGTGCCTAGCCTCGCACGCTTCTGGACTTCCTCGGGCCACTTAAGGCCGCAAGATCTGGGCAAGAGAAGCGACGGTGGATCCTACTGTGGATGGTTGCGAATTCCGTTCGCACCACTTTGAAACCATGGGCAGCTACTGTTTGTTGGTATTTACGGGAGAATCGTCATTCCGGGAATCTTGGGTGGTGCAGGATTCTAGCCATCCACAGTACTTAGAAACAAAACGCAACCACCGTAACACCAAATCCCGAACCTGAAAAGGCAATAGATCCGCGTCCGAACATTCCAGTCTTGGGCTTGAGTCCCTACGAACCCTCCTTTTGTCATTTTAGCAGTAGACCCACCCCACAAGAATAGTTTTAGACACGGCCCTCCCTTGCGCAAATCAAGCACTGGCTCTATTTCACGGTTTGCCTCAGGCTTGGCTCTGGTTCCCAACACTTCACATCTCAGTTGTCTCTATTCAGGGCGTGCAAAAGGGTCTGAATCAAACAATATTGGAACCAGGGAACCAGGTATCTCCCATTGTTCTAGGGGTTGTTTCCCCATTCCTTTCAACCATCGTTCTCTTCGACAACCAATCGCCGTTTTCCCCGGGTCTCTGTAGGTTTCTAGAAAGATCCGGATCCCTGGAAAGAATGGGGGAGGTACCCTCAGAATTCTCCATCCTTCTCGGCCGGCCCTTTCCCGCGGGTTTCTTGGAAAGATCGCCGGTTGCTATGCCAGGAGACATCAGCACGCTATCCAGGCCGACCGCCTCGATCAGGGCATCATCCGTCTCCGCCTACTGGCGAAACGCGTACCCGTCATGGCCCCCAGCAGAGTTGTCGGGCTGTTCACCAAGCAGCTCAAGCTGCCCTGTGTGGACCCAGAAATAGAAGGTTGACCTTTCGGAACCTTGACTCAATATGGACCAATTCAAGGAAACTCAAAGGTTGAGGTCGATTTGCTTTGGGGAAGTACGCCGTCAGGAAAAGGGTTGTTCTCAATACGTTAAGCAGTCCCAGGTAGGTTGCTGCCACGGACGTGAACAAATCCATTTTGCGCTAGTTCTGGATCAGCCCTATGGGGAAGCATCGTCCAGCTGATTCGAAGTAGATTTTACTCCTATAAACCATCCCCTATGCTTTATTTTAGAGGAATCGTCTTCCGGTTCAATTCCAACACCCTGGGTCATTCCCCAATTACTGTTGACCAGCAAGTTTTGTACATCCGCAGAGCCGCCTTGCCGGGGCACGAAGGATCAAGGTCAAGATGTTGTCGGTCGAAACAGTTTTCTCAGAGTGCTCAAGCCATTCGAAAGAAGGCTCCTAAACGAACCCAGAGCTCAATGCTCACAAAAGAGCCTCCTGAAGCTTGAGGAAAACCCACTACGGAAAATTGCCATTGAGGAAATCCGCTCAGTGGGAGCTTGAGGAACTTCACTCAGCGGAAGATCCTACTCAGATCAACTCAAAACAGCAAAATCTGTAAGTTCGGACTTGAGTTGATCAAACAGAAGGTCAGATTTCAAGAAAAATCCCTGTCTGTAGCCCACAACCTTGGAACCAAGTCTGAGCCTCTGTGGGATTTTAAAGTTGCAAAGGGAAGGAAAATCAACTCATTCGTTCGTTTGAAGACATGGGGGGGGAGTGTCAAACATGTATCATTGTTGGGCGACCCGTTTCAGTATTGTTTTCGTTGCTGTGCATCAAAGTTCCATGATGCGTCATCCAGGAAACAAGCTTTCAAAATCTACCCTTTGGCCCTTTCGCTTGCCAACCAAGAGAAAAGCAACAACACAACATTGATCACACCCAAAGAGTCATGTGGTCCCCATCATCTCTTGAAAACAGAACACAACAACGTTTCACCACAACACGAAGCATGCCAGGCCACAATGCTCCTCTTGCTCTCGCCTTCGAGCCCACCCAAAGCCACCCACAAAGCGTCTCGGTCGGCCGCACCCTGCGCGGAGAATGGATTGTCTGTCTCAACGTCTTCCATTTGCTGAAGTCCACTGGAAAAAAGGCATATGTACAGTGTACAGTAGTGATAGATTCCCTCTAAAACCAACAGGGAGAATATAACATATGCTTAAGCAAATGGAAGAACTTGTCTGGAACCCTTCCTGCACGGTCAACTGCCCTCTCGGGGAGCGGAAATGAAAGGTTAACCTGTTGGGGCCATGACTAACAATGGACCAAGCAAAAGGTGGAAAGGTCGGCTTTGGGCAAGTACGGAAAGAGAAACTGAAAGGAAACCAACCACCTGGAGGAATTGGTCCCTAGCTTTGAGACACACCACAGGAATTCGGACATTCTTCAAGAGTAATTTGCCACAAACATCGACAGCATGTTTCAGATTCTGCCGTCTTAGTAGACATGTTTGGATCACCCAGGCGAAGTTGTTCAAGGGCACGTCATTTCTTGGAGGCTCGGGCAAACTCAAGTTGTGGTTCCTCAAGAAACACACCGACACCTGTGTTTTCTCTGGGTGTTGGGGGTTCTCCTAGATTGAGACAAGCCCACTGGACTTGCTTGAAGGAGTAGGAAATGCACACCAATGAGCTTTCAGCCTTTTGGGACAATGACTATGAAACAAAACACGAAACAACCGTGGGAAAAAACAAACGGTGACGAGGTCGATTCGCTTCGGGCAAGAAAGTGTGTCCAAACCGGAATCGCCACAGTTGAGGCAGCTCGATGCCAAAGCGACTGGCTACTTCCATTTGGTTAAGACCCCTGGGAAAAAATACGTACAGTAGTGATAGATTCCGAACCTTTAAAACCAACAGGGGAAAACAAAAAAAGTATTCTTAAGCAAATGGAAGGCTACAGGTTTCAGGTTTGTCACCTTCAGAGAGTTGGCGCTCTTTTTGCTTCCTTTCACATCGCTCAGCCATAAATCGTAGGCTTGGAAAGACAAAGGGGCACAGCCACTGGAAGCATTCATCAGCAAACAACCAGTGCGCCAGTTTAGGTAAGTCGGGAAGGAGCCGACGCAGAATCCGGCGTTTGCAGATTTGTCTCACAAAACGCATCCTTTCAGATCCATGTTTCATGCTGGCTTCTGTTGGTCCAACCAACAGCCCCATATTGACATCGGAGGGCCTCCGTAATTCTTGCATCCTGCAGATTCAGTGCCTCGATGTTGCTTCGCCAAGCAACTCTGTCTCACTTGCCCAATGGAAATCAAAGCTTCACGTTTTGCAACCTTGATAAACTAAAAACAAAAACGGACAAAAGGTAAGGTGATTCGCTTTGGGCAAGTGAGCTGTGCCAGTTTGGACTTGAAAAGGATGCCCCATCATGTCCAGTGTGGGGTGTAGGTCTGATATGTCGGATTAGTGTCGTGAGAATATGCGCAACTAGGTGCCCTTCATACGGCATCTAGGTTAACGATCCAACACTCTGCACCGTCCCACGACCTCATATCCGGGCCATTCTGACACTTGCGTAAAGAGGGTGTGGGGGGAATAAAAGAATAAGCCAGCCATCCCGTGAAACCAATATTGGTTTCTGTTTGTGAGGGTGCGCCTGTCAGCTTGGTTTGAAGAAAAACCGACAGCAAAGCCAGCATTTTGGCGGTCCAAATGGTCCAAATAGGTGGTATTGAGGGGGTACCCATTCTGGTGGTTTTCGAGGGACACTTTGGGGTACCTCACAAAACAAGCCCAGGTGGTACCCCCAACAGACCCGAAATCCCTCCAACCCTCCGGAACCCTCCCTAAAAACTGCCCCGAACCACCCCGGAGCCAGTCTGGGCAAAGACCCCATAGCTTTCAGCTGAGGGAAAAAACAACCCCACATATTTTGTGTCCAAAACGGGGAAGCCAACCAAGTCTTCTTAAAGGCCTAAACTTTTAACCGAAACAGCCTCTCCGGGATGAGCTCACTGAGGCTGTTGTAGGAATAAACCTCAGCGTTTCAGTGGAACTCGGCGTTTCAGCGGATGAACAAATACAAGTTCCCACGCCCGTCAAGGGATGACAAACCTCATAGGCTTGTAGGAAACTCACTTCTCATCGAGTGTTCTTGAGTGTAACTAGAATACTCCAAACTCAAAAAGCGACTAAAGTCCAGGAAGTCGGAAGGTGGGTTTAGGTGGGTTTAGGTTGGGTTTAGGGTGGATTTAGGGTTGGTTTAGAGTGGGGCTAGGGTGGGCTTAGGGTGGGTTTCGGGTTGGTGTGTGGTTGGCTATTGGTTTAGAATGAATGTATAATTAACTCAAATAAATATAAAACGCATTTCAGATTTTAACAAACAAACAAACAAACAGGCAGATAAACAAACGCACGGACGGACAATTGCCGCAAGCGTTGACGGCTGCTGCCCAGTTACCTCGTGTCGGATGCATGCCGCCATGAATTGATGCCACGTTGAACTCACTCTCGATGCTGGATCCGTCGCGGAGTCGCAGCAGCCAGTGCAAAGGGCAAACTCTCTTTCAGCCCCACGTACGACCGCACTGAGAGACGCCAGCAAAGGTCTCCCGCCAGTGCCGGCAATTGCAAGCGCAAGGCTTGACTTTCCAAGCGGAAGCTGTGTCTCTTCGTAGAATCACTTGCGCAAAGGACAAGGCGATGCAAAAAAACATCCCTTGACAACATGCGGTTCATCCCAAACTGGGCTGGTGTGTTTCAGAAGAATCACAAGGCTCAACTAAGGAGCGTCCAACTCTAAGTTTGGGTCGAAATTGATTCTTGTTGCTGGATGCTGGGGGCATAAGTCACTTCCTAAGCGGATTTGCAAATATACATGTATATATATATAAATGGTGTTCCAACAAAGTCTAAAGTCCAAGAACTCAGGGAGTGAGACAAGCATCGAACCGGTAAGGAGGCGTTTTCATGATTTCCCTTAAGGCTTCCTGGCACCTAGAGAGCAATGCCACTTCCCGATTTGCCCACCTGAAACCTCAAACTTCTGGGGTACCTTCCCCATTCTTTCCTGGCATCATTCTTTCTAAAAAAATAACACCCTGGGGAAACAGCTGGTTTTTGAAAAGAACGATGGTTGGAAAGAATTGGGAATCAAGCCCTAGAAAACTACACATTGGGTTGTTACCCCAAATTGTGGGGCGAGCCGGGCGAGTTCCCCTTTTGTAAGGGTAGCTTGACGGTCCAGGCACGTAGAAACTCTGCAAAACGTGAATTAACTCTTGTGGGTCCCTCTGCAAAAGTAAATCATTTTTTGTGGGTCCAATGATCCGAAAATCCAAGCTCTTTCAAGAGCAACCAATGTGAAAGTTCAAAGATCCTAAACCAAAAAGCCAAAGAGTTTCACCCACTTAACGTCTCAAAACGCCAAAGCGAAGGCCTTCTATAAAGATGAACCTGGAAAACAGTCAGAAATTACACACGGGTGGACCCGGGCACCCTCGGTGGCTTTCCGTTCGAGTTTCAGGGGAACACACTTCAAATTGGGGCCGTCTTTCTGTCGAAATCCGACCCTCCCCCCTCTAAATGGCGAAAACGTTTTTCCTGTTTTTCCCTTGACAAAACCACAGCAAATGGCTACCCTCAACAATTGGCTCACACTCGGGTTGGTTCCAGCTTAGCAAAGGGCAAAACCCAACAGGTTGACAACACTGCCCCCACACAGCAATTTTTAATCACTGCTCTAAGCTTGGTTGCTGGTTTCGACCCCTCTGCAAAAAGTGTGTTTCACTACTTTCTTGGTGGGTCCAATTCGGAAAATCCACACACAGTTTCAAGCAAGAAGTTGAAGTCCCAAAGACCCACCAAATGACCATAACATAAGGAGCATGCAAACTTTCCCTGAGGTTTAATGCGTTGCGATCTAAACCTGCGGGCCAGACGGTCGAATCCCGCTTACACGTGCCGGCGAAGCATATGGCAAGATATGTTAAACGATTGAATAGTGTCTCCTGCAGTGTCAAAATGTAACATGGCCATGAACATAATTGCCTCCACCAGGCCAATTAGTTATAGTGTCCCTAGCCAACAGGGTGTCACATGTGCGGCATAAGTGCTTAGTGCGATTCAGAAAAACTGACCACAAAGCCGAATCAATCATCAATGGCTTAGAATGTGCTTCTGAGACAGTGGCATGTTGCGGATGCGCCGGGAAACCGAATTCAACTGCAAGGACGCATCCTGGACAAGCCAATATTTGTTGGGTAAAAAGCAAACCTATAACTATCCGATCATACCGTCGCCGCCGACAGGGCAACGCCCAAAACCGATACCCAGCAGCAAGCAAAACTGAGAAGAGTTGGACCACCCAAGGCCCAAAACCGTCCAAAACCGACACCATGGAACTATTGCCCGCTGAGATAAATCTACGCGGATTTGTATGCCAACTCCCTTAGTATCAACAGTAATGTGAACCCCTGATGAGTACGTCCCCCAGTTATTAATCTGGGGTCCTGGTTGCCCTTGAAAGAAAGAGCATTCCCGGCCCCCCTCAGCAATACGTCCTGGGCTTACTCATCAGGGGTCAGCATTCTTCAAGAGGCACGGTTCTGGCGCCATCAATCTGAGTCGCGTGCCAGTGGGTAGAAGCGGCGAAGCATGCCGAAAGCGAACGCGACCCCAACAATCATGAGGACCTGAGCGCCATGTCTCAGACCACTTGGTGGGATTCCGGCAAAATGGGGCACCCTTTGATGGTACTCGACTTGAATTAGAAACTCCCTCACTCAAACGTTTTGAGGGTCCTTTGGTGCCTTCTGAGGATGTACCTTCTGGTATCAAAAGGGTTCAAAGTACAACCTCACAAGGTAGCAAGGGATCCTTCGGGAAAGGATCCAGTGGATCTGTTTGTTTTTTTTGGTACCCGTCGTTTGAAGGCTTTTAAGGAAACCAGCGCGAAGACCACCATTTTTGGAGGGCTCCAACTGCAAGGCCTGCGGCCTTGCTAAGGTGCGAAGGGAAAGCAAGAGAAAGCGACGGAAGCAAGTTCTATGGGTTTCCGGATGTAGCCTTGGCACCTTGAAAAACGGAGAACAACCAACAAGACAATTGACATGTTTCATAACCCTGCACAACAATGCGAGAGTGCATTGTATGTATTGCGTATACATTGCGTATGCATCCTGTACGCACTATGTATACATTCTGTATGCATCCCGTACGCATGTGTTATGCATGTTGCATGCATTGTTGGATTTGGCCTGGACACCTAGACAAACATACTGTCAAACAGGCATGCAAGTTGTGCATTTTGTGTGCATGTTGAATGAACTTTCTGCATTTGGACGAGGTATCTTCCAAAATGCAACAAACCCATACTTGTTGGCAGAACACTGCACACAAATGCGAAACGTGCGCGTTTTATGCGTGCTGGATGCCTTTGTTTCATGAAGCTTGTATGCATGGTGTGCATATTTTATGTGCAGTTTGAAGGTTTCAAGGCCAAATCCAGAAATGCAAAACACAACATGCAAACAAACTGCAGACAAAAGGCATACAAAAGACATGCAGCATGTGGAACATGTACCTGTCTCGTATTCTTGGGCTGTGGTATGCAAAACTATGCAGTTGCTCAAGCTATCAATTTTGGCAGTTTTGAAGGTAGCCATGCCAAAGCCCAGAATGCATACAACATGCACAAGCAAATGCTTGCTGCATGCATTGTGTATGCCTGTCGTATACAATATGCATGTCAACTGCATACAGCCACATACAAAATGCATGCACAATGCACAACAACATGAACCTGTCTCGCAATGGTGCAGCGTTGTGCAAAAATGTGATTTCTCTCAAGTTTTCTATTTGTTGCAGGCTTGAAGGGAGCCACGCTAAAGCCGAACATGAATACAATATGCACACAACAATGTCAGAGCCCAATGTCCAAACAAAACCCACACACATCTAGCCCAAATTTTAAAAGTGCGTGCAATGTACATACAACACGCATGCAAAAGGCATACAAAAGGCATACACAATGCATGACACGCACTGTTCTCGCAAAATGAATTCAAATCATACAAAATGAGAGTAACACGCAGATTGAAACTAGCCATGGCAAAGCCAAACGTGAATGTATGACGTGTGCATGCCTACCAAATGCATACCAAAGGCATACAAAATGCATGAAACATGAATGAAATGCACCTGCTTCGCGTAGTGCTCTCAAATTGCAAAACAAACTGCAATATTCACTTTGCATGCCTTTTGTATGCGTTTTGTGCGCATGCTGTGTGCATTTGGAAGGCATTCAGGAATACAAGCTGCAAAATGCCAAAAACAACATACACCATGCATGCACCTGTCTCGCAGAATGCACGTTTGAAGGTAGCCATGCCAGAGCCAGGAAAGCGCAGGGCGCACAGCAATGCATGCTGCGACAGAACCACACGTGCATACAAATGCACGCAAAGATGCAGAATGCATTCTTGATGCATTGTGCATGCCCATACAAAATGCATACCAAAGTGCAGAAATGCCTCTGTCTCGCACTTTTCTCCTCAACGAAGTCCGGCCCAATGCAACAAAATGCCTACAACATGCAAATAAAACGCTGTTTGAAGGAGCCAAACATGCATACAAAGTCCACACAAAAAATGCATGCATGCACCGGCATACAAAATGCATAGAACATGCAGTTAGAAGCTAGCCATGCCAAAGCCAACAATGCAACCAATGCCTTGTGTATGCATTTTGTAAGAAAAGTTGTATGCATTTCGAAGGTATTCAGGCCACAAACAAAGATGCAATCTTAATGCACAACATGCATACAAAAGGCAGACAAACTGCATGCACCATGCGTTAGATGCATCCGTCTCCCATAATGCAAATAGAAAATGCAGCTTGAAGGTAGCCCTGCCAGAGCTCACATTGCAGTTGACGCTAGCCAGGCCAGAGCCATACATCTACAATTACAGAGCGCACACAAAAATGCGTGCTGCGCCAGAGAAACATGCACAAAATGCATACACACACATGCAATACGCATTTTGTATGCCCACAGACGTGCCGAAATGAACCTGTCTTGCATTTTTGTCCGAAACAAAGTCCAACCCTATGCAAGAGATAAGGTCGAAAAAAGAAGCAATGCCAGAACAAGCACGTTGGCATTGCCAGCCTCACCAGCCAGCATCTGCGGCATCACCAGCCACCATCATCAGCCCGCATCCCGAGCAAGCTCCACACAGCATCACCAGCCGAAACTGATAGAATCGGAAATCATCAAAAGCCACAAATCGGGTGCGCTGCGGTCTAGTGTGATTTGTGCGCAAACAACACAGCAACCAAAAAACGCCCCGCACCCCCAAACACCATCCTTTGGCGGGTTGAGTTGTGAAAATACTGGGGAGTCGACCGTAGTCCATTTCCCAACCACGAATTTTGAACGCTCCGCTAAAAGACCGAACGTGTCATATAACTTGTCCTGGTCCCCAAACAAACCTGCAAACAACTGTCCATTTAGTCTTTCCCAAGGGACGTCTTTTGGGGGGGGGGCTGTTAGTTAAGGATCCCCTGGGGTGTGATCGTGGGTCATGCCTTCATAGGTGTTTTCTTTAGACCCTAGGAAATGGAGCGCAGCACTAGCAGCTTCTTCAGCCTGAGCCCCAAGGCACCTCCGATGGTCACCGCAGATGAATAATTTTCACCCCTGCTTAATGAAAAGAGGTGTGTCCCTTTTCAGTGGGGGGAACACCCCTCGTATTAATAAAGCCGGTTTATGAATCAGGGACAAACATGTATACTATATAGGTGTTCCCATCTAGGATCACCCAACTGCAGGCGCTACCAAGTGTTCCACGCTTAGCCGCCTAAGTGTTGCAAATAAATGGGTTGATAAAGATAAGGTAATTGCGGTTTCATAGTTTCTAACCCTGTGGAATGTTGGCAAGCTTTAAAACAAAGAAAGAGTTGACTCACCTTTTCTCGAAAGCAGGACAAGTCCACTTGTTTCTCTCATCTGATGTTGTGTTGTACTCATTTGCATTTTTTATAAACAAATATTCCAAAGGGGCAGGGCCCGCGAAACGCTTCATGGCAACTTGCTTCACTCCACGTTCCCCCAAGCCTCCCACTCCAGGCTTGGGCTATAACTTGTGTCCGTTTTCTGATCCCTTGCCCCAGGCTTCGCTTGAACTGGAACCCCCGGTCGGCTGGGGTTCCCACGTACCAAGTGCCCGTATCCGACTTCGGCCAAAGCCCAGGTCCCAGGCATTGGTGGTCAAGCCGCTGAGGAAGGCCTTCTCATCACCTCATCGAACGTCGAACGACACGGCTTCCCGGATGTCCGTCCGCCAATTCACAGGACACAGGCAGGAACAAAAGTCGAATTGGTGCTGAAGTCGACATAGATCCTTTCTTAGGCAGTCCCCAGAGTGGTTGCCCGGACAGCCTCCCCAACATGAAAGTGGACACAGGAGCTTGTTGCAATGGCAGCGTCCATTTGCTAGAGTATTTACAGTAGTGATGGGTTCTTTTTAAACCAACAAGGGAAACTTTGTTTTTAACATATATATATATATATATTCAGCAAATGAATGGTAGCGTCCCAATACCTGCCCTGCAAACATCACCTTCAGGGGATCCCTGAGGTTGTGTTAAGGCTTAACCCCCCCCCCCAAAGGAAAAGATCTATTGCGCGTGCGCCCAGAGACAAACTCATAGGGAAGGTTGCATAGGTGACACTTTGGAGGCAAATGGCCCTGGTACATGGGGAAAAAAACAAATCACCTCTAAACCAGTGCACCCACATCCATTTCTATTGACTATTTCCAGAAGTGATTCCCTTCAAAGACAACTAAAGGGAGATCCGAGCACATACTCATTTCAGCGCTTGGAAGATCAATGGTTCGAGTCCAAAACCAACGCACCATTGGGCCATTCTCCGTGAGCTCCAAAGCCCAAACTGTCCGAAGCCGTGCCCGTGCCCTAGGTCTCCGCACCCACGGAATTTCCTGGCCAGGAAAAAAAAAAAAAACGCAAAGAACGAAAAAGAAAGAAGAAAAAACACCCAGCAGTTGGGGGGGAGATTTCGGTGAAGCAAAAAAAAGGTCGTGTGTGGTTCTCGCCGCGCTTCGGATCCAGTCCAACTGGGTGCGCTATAGGATCCAGTTGGACAAATGGTATATATCTTGGAATGGTTCCCGTTGCTTGCGAACTTGGCGAATCGAAGACCCACGTACCTTCCAACCAGTCTCGGGGAACCTCCTCCTATAGGGCAAAGAGTCCCTCTCCTCAAATGGTGGCCAAAGCCTGGGAAAATGGTTCCCATTGCCTGGTTTTGTGGGTAAGCAAGAACTTGCCACCCACAAAAAAAATGTAAAAATGCGAAGGGTTACCTACTTCAATTGGGCTCGCAGAGAAAATGGGTGGATGACAGGACATTCTCCAAGCCCCAACCATTTCCAAGGGGTTTGCCTTAGGATGCATTCCCATATTCTTGAACAACATATTTCGCCTACCAAGGTCCAGTTCGTAAGATGATCAAACCAAGATCTGGCAATTGTGTCACCCGCAAACTTGAAGCACTGACACAGAACCTGGTGGCTTCCCAACTTGTTGGTTCTCCTGTCAGGCAATGCGGGAATGACCCCAACCTGAGCCATCCCCGCCCAATGCTGGTAGAAAAAGAACAGGTTCAGTCCCAATCCCTTGATTCCCTAAGAACCACCAACGAAACTGGTTGCCAACAAAATTACCTACATTTATATACACTTACCCTTTAAAATGGTTCAAACATGTTGGCATATTACCTACATGGATTGTCTGGGATCCTCTTAGTAACTCCGTCTCCGGCACATGTGGCTGCCCAGAAACGGAAATCCAAAATGGTGGGCCCTCGACTACATCTATCAACAAACGTTTAACATGTGATGGTTCCACAGCAAAGTGAGAGTCCTCAATGTTGAGATCAAAAGACTCAGAGCTATGCCCTTCATGATTAGAGTTAGGCCCAGTTGCAGAATATGTGTATATATATATATATATTTGTACTATATATATACATATTGTCTATACTACTGTTTGCTTCACTTTGAGTCACTGGTATAGTATCATATATCCTAAGTCTACCCCAGCCTTGATGTAGCATTTAGGCGCCGGCTTGGCCATGGGATTGTGCGGATTGCCAAGTGCCAAAATCGAAAGGGTGTTGCCTCAACACGCGTTTTACACATCTCTTCTTCTCTCTCCATGTTAGCTCCTCATTTGGTGGGCTCCTTTTTTATACTTTTGCTATGTGATATGAGGCAGGCGGCACCATGGGGCCGTAGTTGTCCCATGCAGGGTTCCGTTTTCTGACGACCCGAAGAGAGGTTTAAACGGGGTTTCCTTTTTGGGGAAATCTACCACCCCTGAGTATAAGTCCACTTTGGGGTTGTCAAAAAATGGACCCGGTCCCATGCGTCTTACATGACTAGTCTTGCATTCCGGACCAGGCACATGTTGCTGGAATGTCTAGGGAGTCAGTGCAACGGCACCAAAAGCAAAACATATGTAGTCAGTCATTTTGGTTGAACTCCTTTTTGGGTTTGTCTCAAAATGGGGACCGGCAAAATGGTTGGCTTCATGCTGGTTTGACTAAACAACAAGCAACGGGGGTCCCCAAAACAAGACACCCATTTCGCCTGGAAGATTTCAAAAGGGGAATGGCTAACGTCAGAGCCCAACATGTTGACAAAGATGTTCACAACAAGTTCGAGGATCGCCGCCTCCCGACCAAAACCTCCTTTTTCACAAATGCTTAGATGGTCTGACGGACAGGACCCGGGACTGGGAAGATCATGAGTTCATGCCGCTTTCGCTCAAAAAACAAACTCAACAAACAGACTGCGATGACTGTACGGTGGAGTGTCATCATTTGTTTCAAGTATCCTATGCCAAATGGTGATCCTTGTCTGGCATGGCTTGATGGTTGGACATCATGACGAGCCCAAAGGTTCATCACGGAGCAAGCTTTGCGGGCCAAACTCAAAGTGGAACAAGCCGTGAGAGGATAAATCTATAGACCCTATCAATTGCATGGAAAGGTTCTCAGCAAACCTTCCCAGAGATCGGCTAATCAAAGGGTTCTAAATTTGCACCTTTCTGATCTTTCTGGGGTATCTGATTGTGTCTTTTGGTGTTGGAATTTTGCTGGATGCCTAAAAGTCAACAACTATAGACGAGTCTTTGGACAATAACTTGGATACCGAGAGAAACCCGTCATCACCATAGGTGTCCTTCGGGAAAATCATCTATGGCCCTAAGGAATAAAACCCATCTAAACCAGTGGAGCCCATGTCTAGCAAAACTAACCTAAAAAGGGCACCTATGGTCATGACAAAGCACGTCGTGGAAAACAGGGATCCGGATGCATTATACACCTGAACATTGCCTTGTAAATGGTGGTTTCCCTGCATTTTGGTGAAAACAGCCATGTTTCAAATGGGCAAAATGCATCTTTTAAGGAGCCCTGAAAAAGCACCACAGAAATGACCCGAAGGAAGACCAGATAAGCGTATCATGGCCGGCGCCTCGTACTCCCATAACGCTCCTTGGCGTGGTTTGGGGGGATCGCTTGCCCAAACGCGCGAGAGGCGACAAGAAAAGCCCTCTCTGCAAACTGGTGTGTGCATGACTTGACCCAGAAACGCACTCAGAAGCTGATGGTTTGGCCCAACAAGCAACTCACGTGGCTCAAAGAAAACACGACAAATTCAGATCCGAACTGTCTCTATTCCCCCCCTCTTCCTCCTCCCATTGCCACTGAAATGCATCTCTATCTCTCTACATAAACCAGTCCGGATAAGTTTGGCATAAGTTGCATGCGACGGAGGAGCGCAAACATCAAACGAACCCCCAAATGCGTCTTCCATGTGGTGAGCTCTATAGGGTCCAAGTATGCTTAGGACCACTTAGGTTTGACTTTGAAAGTGGTCCAGGTGCCTCCTTAGGTTACAAGTGACCCTCTGATGGCCGACGCGTCGTGCTCGTGGTTCTCTCAAGTCACACGGCACCCGGCTTTTCAGTGGAGCTATTGCAGATGGTTGCGAAATCAAATTTGCACCACCGTTCAGAAACCCAAGAGAATGAATCGATTCCCGAACGGAAATACTAACAAACTTTACGTTTTCAACCATGGTTTCAAAGTGGTGCAGGATTTTGTGATCCAAAGCAGGGGGGAACTCACTTCCCAGCAACACAAACACGGAGCTCGCGTGGTTTCCAATAAGATTTGGCCCTTCCACAGTGGGCGCCACTCATTTCTACCCTTCCTTGTGAGATCGCCTGGCTTCTCAAGGGTTGCTGCGCAGACGCGATCACACATCTGGTGAGATCACATGTCAAGGGGTCAAATTTGGAAAGCAAACTAATAGCACAAACTCAGATGTGACTTACCCTTCCAATTAACATGGAACCTGACGTTCGGGGGTGTCTGGTTTGGATCAGTTCTCTCATAAAGGGGCCGGGTTTCTTGGGAGGGTAACTGCGTTTGCTTGTGGGCATGCTTACGCGCATTTTGACAACTCCCCGACATTTAGCACCCAGAAAAAATGCCAGGCCCTAAATGTGTAGACCTTTGGTCATGGAAAACAGGCACAGCCCCGCTTCAAATGGCCACTGAGGTGTGGAGTCTTACGTCAAGGCGGTCTGGAACCTGCGAGGCGAGGGTAAGAACATTGCTACATAAGTAACAAACAAAAACACCTACGCGTGCGGATATGAAACAGATGACCCTGGAACATGGATGGCATAGAACCAATCCAACTACGACTGACCAATCAAAGGACACCGCGACTGCCATATGTTCAGACGGGATAGATTCCGTTTAACACCAACGTATCAAACTAACCAATCAACAGGACGTGACGGTAAGGCTGAGAACATGGGTCACACTTCCTGCCACCCTTGGCTTGGTGCATTGGTTGCTGTTGACGCCTCTGCAACAAAATAACGTTTGTGGGTGTGCGTCCAATGGAAACTCCACTGTTTCCCGAAAGTTAAAGTCCGAAGATCCGTTACCAAATAGCCATAAAGGTGGCCCTCTCGTAAAACTCGCATTCTGTGTGGCCAACAACAGCCACCGATTTGTATTTATTTGCCACTACAATGGCAACCAGACCCAACAAGTGCCTTTTGTCAACATTGGACATGAACTCAGGAAGATTCCCTTTGAAACCAACAGGGGAAAGTCGTGCACATGATCCTTTAAATGCAAATTAAAGTCCAAGAACTCAGGGAGTGAGTTAGACTGGTCCAAACCTCAAAGTCCAACTAAAAAAGTCTCAGGACCAACAGCCGACCCCGAAATATATGACTGATTTTCTGAGACCAGATTCTAGTCCATAAAAAAGCCGACCCCGTGACATGATTTTCGTAGAAACCCCCAGGAAAAGAAAACCCGCGTCCCATCCAAGCCGTTCCAGCCAAAGTGTCTGTGCGTCGTGCGGGTCCGGAGTCGTGACATTCAGAGTCTCTGTCGGCTTGCCTCGCCGGGCGTGAGCGCATCAGGCGTCTGCAGGGTTGCCTATAACCTTCATCTACTCATCATTTCGGGGTCATCTATTTTGATACCTACTTGGCGGCGGCTCAATTACATGTACCAAATAGCACCTTGGTGAATGGAACCAAAAGCCTGCGTAGCCCTAGCTCTTGAATTTTTGAGCCACACCCACTTATTTTTTCAGCAACCCAGATCACAGCAACTGTAAGTAAACCCATTGCTCCCATTCTTAACCCCTAGGCTCGCTGGGTGCAAGTGTGGCGAATGGGCCTATAATTTTCAACTTGGGTATCAAAACATAGCCGTTGCAGATTCCGGCATTTCAACAAACCACCGACATCCGCAAAACAAAACAGATGACTGAGAAACGCAGGGTGCTTGAACAGCTTCCGGAAGCCGTAGAAAAGGATCGATCCCAGTCAGCTCGCTTGCGGAGGAAAGCGCAGAAAGCGCAAAAAAAGATGAGTTGTGGCAAGTGGGACACGCGAAAAAAGTATGGAGCCAGCTGCCCAGTGACTCTGAAAGGGAACCCTTTGACCAACCATTTTTTGAGCGGGTTTTCCACTGTGAGTCAAAACCGATAGGTATTAACACCGACCCAGCGCCATTTAAATAATGAAAAAAACAGCGACGCCCAATTTAACTTTCTGAGTGCATTGGCCAACCAGTTCCCTGGACTTTGTAATTCCCTAAAATCTCAGATGCCCGGTGGCTATGGGTTAGTTGACTTTAAAGGGGGCCCCTTCCCCAAAAACAGGAACAAAGGGCGCCACTGGGCAACCCAGAATGGGTCCAACTCCGGAAGTGGGCGTACCAACCTTCTTACCCGAGCTTTGAGGACGTGGCAACACCTGAGGAAGACCGATTCCTTTTGGGAGGGTCTGATTTCCTGGGAGTGGGTGTGGCTATATTGGTCACAATGCCAAGCAAAGGGTTGGGGAACACAAGTGAACCTCCATTTGCTCCAGCCCCTGGAAAACACTATAGTGAGAGATTCCCTTTTAACCAACAGGGGAATACATTTCTTAAGCAATTGGAAGAACTCAGCACGATGCTTGGCAGATCCATTCAAAGCCTTGGAAAGATACCCAACCACACCAACTTCGAGGATACAAAAACAATGCGGATCTGGGCCCCAGCCACTCGCCAATAACAACCTCGTAACTTTACCAAAGTCACCTGGGAGTGGTTTTTCGGGGGACCCTCCAAAAAGGGTTTTGCTGTTGGTTGTTCTTTAACACCACTACACATTTGCCGCCTTCGAATACATCCCCCCTGTTCAACCCCCGCCCTCCCCAGTACGTCAAAAACAAAAAGCTGCGCATGCCTGTGAGAAATACCTTTCCGTGCCGACATCATACGCCTTTCTTCACCACCCTCCCAAATCGCAACTGGAAGTCAAGGAAAAAAACGCGCCAACCCTAGCAAGGATTCCTCTATTCTGGTAGACAAACCGGAAGTCTCCCATGAACTCTGGGTGGGTGGGTGCGGCGGCATGTTTCGGTTGCTGCGGATAGGAACGCATGCGCCTTTGTGAAAACAACGCTTTTACTTGTAGTCGGTAGTAGCGGCCGTCAACATTTTAGACAACGACTGCGCAGGGTTCCCACGCATGGTGTCATGAGCATGACCGACATATAATGACATAAGAAGTTTTGACAGTGGCACACGTGCGACGCGGACGCTACCAGGGTTGTGGGCGGTTCATTGAATATTGCTTGTGTAGCGTATTAGCTCCTACAAGGTCCGGGTAATTTCCTTGGGTATCGGAAGCCCAAAGGTGGCTTGGCGCTGGAATCTTTAGGGCCTTTAGACACACGCACGCACACACACACACAACACACACACACACACGCACGAACACACACACACACACACACACACACACACACACACACACACACACACACACACACACACACGCACGCACGCACGCACGCACGCACGCACGCACGCACGCACGCACGCACGCACGCACGCACGCACGCACGCACGCACGCACGCACGCACGCACGCACGCACGCACGCACGCACGCACGCACGCACGCACGCACGCACGCACGCACGCACGCACGCACGCACGCACGCACGCACGCACGCACGCACGCACGCACGCACGCACGCACCACGCACGCACGCACGCACGCACGCACGCACGCACGCACGCACGCACGCACGCACGCACGCACGCACGCACGCACGCACGCACGCACGCACGCACGCACGCACGCACGCACGCACGCACGCACGCACGCACGCACGCACGCACGCACGCACGCACGCACGCACGCACGCACGCACGCACGCACGCACGCACGCACGCACGCACGCACGCACGCACGCACGCACGCACGCACGCACGCACGCACGCACGCACGCACGCACGCACGCACGCACGCACGCACGCACGCACGCACGCACGCACGCACGCACGCACGCACGCACGCACACACGCACACGCACACACACGCACACGCACACGCACACACGCAACACGCACGCACGCACGCACACGCACGCACACGCACACGCACACGCACACACGCACACACGCACACACGCACCACACACACACACACACGCACGCACCCACACACACACACACACGCACGCACGCACGCACGCACGCACGCACGCAACCCAACTGACGAGCAATCTCGCCAAGGAAACTGGGTGGGCCCCATTGCATGGCACCATACCATGACACACCTTGAAAGCCTCTAGGCTTCTGCCCCTGCGTATGCGAGTTGATTCAGTTTGTTTAAAGGGAAGCGGACACTTGTCCAAATGCTTGGTGGACATGAGCCAAATGATGGGCCCCAGCCAATTGTGTGGGTGAATTGCCACAAAACTGTTGAACTAAACTTGGGTGGGCCTGGGCGCGATGTCCAAAACAGCTTGGGTAGGGCATCAACAAAACGCGAAACGCAAATAAGCTACCCTACAAAAGTCATCCGCGCAAGGCGAGCGCCAATGGAGCACGAATCTCCAATCTCTCGGGTTCTGCTTGCTGTCCATTAGAGCAACGACAAGGGCGCCACACCCCATACAAGCGTTGTTCTCAGCCGCGATATGGAGCTTGCACTGGCTTTCGCAGCGTTAGATTGCGCGCCCTGGGCTGCGAGGGGCTGCCGTGAATCGCTCGCGGTGCCGTGTAAGCAAGGTGTTTGCGCCCGAAACCCGCGCGTCCTGCAGACAAGCCCCACTTCTTGGTCGCCTCAGCGTGAGAATGGCCGATTTTGCACGCCTGCGCGCTCCAATACACCCCTGAAAGGGCTTAGGGGTAGTGGAAACCGTCTTAGACCTTGCATACCCAAATTCAAATTGAGTCCGCCAAGTCCTAGCGTCGACTGTAGAAATATGGTTCACGGCCTCACGCGCGCTAAACACGTGCATGATACAGCAGCTCCCGCAGAAACTGGGGGCGCAGCCGGATGTTCGCGTCGCGCAGGGGATTTGCACTGATCTATAGGGTATTTCTTGCATTCGTTCGGCGCTCCTCGTCAAAAAAAGCAGACATCCTCCCCTCCAAAAAGAACAGCCGTGATATGAGTGTGTCTTTTTGGGGGTGCCCTGAAAGGGTGGTTTTCCTTTTAGCTTCCCAATGAACACTACAAACAAATGCTACCCTCGAAAAAGACATGGTCAAGCAGGGAGCCTGAACACTCGGTTCTTGATCTGAGAAAAGCCCAAGCCTACGCAAAGAAGGCACAGTGGCAAATGAGGTGTTTGATGTGTCCTATCACATCAAATGCAACGGTGTAGGTAATATGGTTCGCATGATTCCGGGCGAAGAAGGGGCACCACGACAGAACCAGCACCCAGCAAAGAGGCGCAACAAGCACGCCGCAAAAGCGCAAAGAGCTTGCTTTCCCTGCTAAAGGTGCAACTTTCGGTGGGTTTAATTGAAAGCCCAACCAATAACCCAGAAAGCCGAAATGACAACAATTAAAAACCTCAGGAATGAGATGGCTGGGAACCACCAAGGCAGGAAGCAGTGACACAGCCAACCGCAAACGCATTCCGAAATCGCCCAGCCTGGCTGCAGCGCTTGCAGTAAAGCCACGTCCTCGTTGCACTCCTGGCTGACTGAAGGCTCGCTCGTAGCGGCTCAAATGGCATGAGAGTCATCATATTCCTCACTTCCACTTCCGAGCGAGATGATGGGCAAAAGCATGTTTACCAGCAAAATGGGAAAAAGGTCCATGAACCCAGGGAGTGGAAATCTCAGCTGCCTAGTTGAATAAATGGTGATCACTGATCACCTTGTTGAAAGCTGACTATATGAGGACCAAGTCAGGGAAACACGGGAAACCTTTTTCTTGAAAACTAAATAAATGGGCAGCTTGTCGTTTCGTTTTGATAGTAAGGGAACCGAAAGAAAACCGACCTTGGGGGTTCTGAGGCTAAACTGAACAAGTTACCCCACGCGCATCCATGACCGCGGCACGAGTGCTGGCACAAATGATAGTACACACGCCCACGCGCATCCACGACCGCAGCATGTGTGCTGGAACAAGTGGTAATACACACGCCCATGCGCATCCACGACCGCTGCACGCATGCTGGCACAAATAATGATACACCCGCCCAGGCGTATCCACGACCGCTGCATGCATGCTGGCACAAATGATAATACGCACGCCCAGGCGCATCCACGACCGCTGCACGCATGCTGGCACAAATAATGATACACCCGCCCAGGCGTATCCACGACCGCTGCATGCGTGCTGGCACAAATGATAATACGCACGCCCAGGCGCATCCACGACCGCTGCACGCATGCTGGCACAAATAATAATACACGCGATGTTCTCACAACCCACACTTTAAACCGAACAGGAGGTTGTCACAACCCACACTTGAAACCGAACAGGATGTTGTCACAAGCAACAATTAAAACCCTTACTGATTCATTTTGACCTGCTTTAGCTGCCACGGCAAACACTTCTCTTTCAAAGCGAGTTTGTTGGTTGAAGTTCTATTTGAAAAGTTTGTTGATACCATTTGCTGAATTCGTTGGCCAGCGCAGTGAATTGTAAACAACAAGAGGCTTGTTTCATGCCAGGCGACGCGCGGCGGGGTGACCTGTTTGTTACCACTAAAATGGGCTTCCCTTTGAAACCACCCCCAAACAAGCTTCCTTACAAGACACTCAAGGAAACGTCAAGCGCAACGCGTCTGTCAGCGAGAGCACCCCGCGCGAAATGGATCAATCCTCCGCACATAGCAGGCACGGCAGGATCCTGGGCGCAAGCGGAAATCCGACATATTCGGGGGTGGGGGAACCTTTTTGAGGTTGGTTTCAAGGGAACCAGAAGAAAAGCCCACCATTCTACAAACCCATGTCTGTGCTTGACTGTTGGCGTATGCAAGAGAGCACATTAACCGTGCTTTTCAAACCGAGTTCAGCAGGTGAGGCCTTTCCGAGGGTGAAGAATGTTTAAAGCGGTAAGCTAAGTCTGGCACCAGAAACACGTAAACTCCACGACGTCTCGGTAAACTGGGCTGTCCTCAGATCCCCTGACAGAAGTTTAACTTTTAGCAGGTTAGATGGAAAAGAAAACTAAACCAACAAAAAACTAAAAACCCAACAGCCTAAAACCCTAAGGAATCAGTTGGCTGGGAACCACCTGGTATGTATATATATATATATGTATATATATATATATTCATGTGATCTGCCTTTGACACATTGATACCTCGGACAGGTCAGCCCGCAAGAGCCAGCTTGCAGAACATCAGGGGACACTAGCGGAATAATTGCAAACCCAGAAACAGCATTTAATCCTGCGTGTCATTTTAAACTCAGCGTTACTTGTGTTTGATGCGGGTCGGTGTGTCTTTTGACACCCCTGCAGCATGAAAATGGGCCATGCGTATCTAAATGCAGCCGATATCCCCGAGAGCCCGGGCCAATCCAAAGCACGCTCCAAAGAAACATGTGCGACTGCGCCAAACTGCCGGGATTAATTCCATGGATCTTCGGCCAAGTTTGTGCGTGGTTAGCCACATGGGGTATATCTCCCCTGAATGTCAAGGTTGACCGGACTAAGCGGTGTAAAACCGAACGGGTACCAACAACTTAACGAAAACTCAAGTATGGAGACAGGTCGGGGGGCCCTCAAGGTGCGATCAATCAACCCCTTTCGGGAAGCAACCCAGAGAAAACCCCAGAATCTTCAGCCCGGCGCGGGGCAAAAACGACAAACTTGAGACTTCTGGGCTCAGATCCCCTGCTAAACAAATTAAATGTCGGTGGATTATCTGGCAAGCCCACTACAACCTGTAAACGTATGGGAATGGTTGGGAACCATCAAGACTTGAGAACTTGCCTTTGCAGGACCCCCCCTCCCCACCCCCCCAAGTTTCCCTTCAGCCACTCCAAAAGGGGCACCATACAAAAAGACGAACCAGCCACATTGCGATTCAGTCCCGGCTAGCCTTGAGTAGCAACCCAGCTCTCATGCAGGCAACCTCTGCCAATTCCCCCACCCCCCGATCTCAAATTCGAAACCTGGTCAAAATGGGCTGTAACACGCCAACTAAGACATGACCTTCTTCGATTGCAACTATACTGCAACACACGGTAGGTACCACTAAACAACTATAACTCATTGCAAATGAGCTCCCGCCCCCTCCAGAAAAAGACAAAGCAAGAGGAAATCGCATTGCATATGTAGCATGGAGGGCGGACTGTGTGCGTACATCATGTCACATCCCTGACCTTGCTCAGTGTGAATCTCACGTCCTGAGTGGATGGGAGGGTCACCGGATGCCGCGCTAAAACCGATTTCCGGGCGCAGCATGTTGGAGTCAGATAGTTCCAAGGTTTTGCGGTGCAACAAAAAGATTACACGAGGAAAGCCACCCTCCCACTGACACAACGCGCCTGTGGGGGTACTAAAATGGTTTTCTTCAAGAAATGATCGATCCGCCGTCTAGTAAAAGGAAGCGGAACCGAAATGCGGCCCACAATCGGCACTATCCATTATTTTCCTCAAACACCTGGTTGAGCAAAATGAAAGACATCACCAATTCAGGCAAAAAGGAACTCTAAGGAGCTTGTGTTTGTGGAAGTTTCATCTGGATGTCTTAGCCTGACTGTAAAAGTCAGAAACGAGATGGAGTGGACGTCCGGGGCGCCGGCAACAGTGCGATCCTGTGCAACATGGGCATGGGTGACTACTGGCTGACGAGCAAAGTTGATGCTACGACCGCGTGCTTTTTGTTTTGGGAGGATCCCCAGAATGGCTTCGGTCGTCCTTTGGTTTCCCTCTTTGAAGACATTCCTAGTTTGAGTGAAGCATACCCGAAACAGCGATGGCTTTCCTTAGATTTTCCTTTAACAAAAACACGAAGCAGGTCCCCTCGCGCCGAAGAGAGCTACATGTTCAACAGCTGGAAGTGTAGACTCTGTTTGTTCGAGGTGTAGAAGCAGTATGTCTATTGCTCTCCCAAAAAAGGTCCGAACCTTTTATCTGCCAATCAAGGTGTTCCCAAAAAGTCAAAAAGTCCAGGAACTCAGGGAGTCAGATTCAGTGCAATATCTCACGACACCGAATTACATCCCTGACAATCCTTCGTTGGTCCTATTTGCCTACATTAACGAACGTTAGTGTATAACACGTGCATTTGATCGATTCTCGAAATGTTAGCAAATTTTGGCTACATTAACGGACCCCGATTTTCGACAAACAAGGCCCCGATTTTCGACAAAAAAAGGCCCGGTTTTCGTAGAAAAACAAGGCCCACTTTTCGACAAACAGGGTCCCACTTTTCGACAAACAGGGTCCCGATTTTCGACAAAAAGGGGCCTGATGTTCGACAAACAGGGCCCTGATGTTCGACAAAAAAAAGGCGCTTGTAAGAGATTCGGCGCATGCAACTATAGGTCAGGGTTGGCAATGTAGCTCCGGAGAGCATGCGCTTGAACGTGGGCGCAGGGAGCCTGCAGTATCGGAAATCGTTTTCGTTCTCTTCATCTCGAGAACATAGTTTGAATGTGTGTGTGTGTGTGTTCTTGTAGATTGTTTTGCCAGTTGGCAATTTTTTGGTATTCCTTGAGTAGCACATCCAAACCGCGCCCTAGATCTTCAGCATGTATGCTTGCTTTCCTTTTCAACATGCGCGTAGCATAACATGTTATGTTTTGCGTTGAGTGCTAATCGATGGAACGGTTGTGCCGACGATTGGTTGCTGACCACGTTGGGATTGAGGCAGCGTAAGCAGCCGGAAGACTTGGACTGCAAGTGCCCAGAAAGGCTTTGGAGCGCCCGATGCGTCTTCCAGCCAGAAAGGCTATGGGTGCTGGGCTTGGTCCGTCCTTCAGTGGACAGGCGCGCTGCTGCTAGGAAGGGCGGGGTTGAGGGTTTTGTTTGTCAAAAGTGAATGCTCAATCAAATTTGTGCAAATATCTTGCGATGGCCTGATATATGCCAACATTTTGCTCGTTCTCAAACAACACATCGACCCAAAACAGTAATTGACCTCTCTGCGGAAGATGCTGGTTGTGGTAATTCCTGCGAACCAGCTGGAGCTTTATCAAAGCCCCTATATAAATCGACCCCTCCTACTGTTCCACAGCAACGTCCAACATGGTCCGGATCCCCAGCTGAGCACATGGCGATGACTTGAACTATGTGCGCTGGCCAACGGAACCGACAGTCAAGCTTATTGGGGTTCTGTTGAAGCGAGTGCTTGTTGAGCAGCCCAAAAAGCTCCCGCATGCTTGTTGAAGATGTGTTTCTTGCTCCGGCTATTTGTGTACCTCTGTGATGGCCCTCCGATTCCAGATAGTTGCTTGTGCTCCGAAGCGCTGCACCCTCGCAGAGTTTCAGCAATAGAGAGCCATGAGCAAAGAAGGGGCGCTTCCATTCGTCGATGATTCGTCTGAGTAAGGAGGGGTTCAAACGTTCCACAACTCCAAGTTTGGCTTTTCAGTTGTCACGTGGCAATTCCTTTTCTTAATCCAGGAAGTTCAGGGTTTGGCTACATGTGTTAAGGGGCTAGCAAGATACCTGCCGTCAAATAATCACGCACACCGTGCTCTGTTCCAAACATCGAGCTCTAAGGCTTTCCTGGAGTGCATTTGGGTTGCGCATTCATCTCTTCTTGTCCGTCGAGTCTGCAAGTCTGGCGAGAATCGAAGCGCTGCTGTTATTTAGCAGATCCACTCGCGAATATTCGCCTTGCGAAAGTCCCACTCAACCCTTCAGGCTTTGCCTGGCAATGACTTAAGCCCTTCTGCGGAAAGCTTGGGGGCACGAGCAGGCAGTTGCCCTCATCAGCGTGGGTTGTATTTGACGTGACCCAGCCTTCAGATGTTGGCCCTACAAAGCACAGCGATCTCTTTTGCAGGCCTTTTGCCTTCTTACTGCACTCTTGATTATGATGCAATGATGCAGAGGAAACTCCGACGTGTGTTCAACAAAGCCCATAACTCTATAGGCAACTGAAGGGAAATGCGCGGACACAAAAAGGCCGTCCCGCTCCCTTAAGTCAAGCGCGAGGGCGCCCTAGCAAAACTTGCTCCGAGCAGCGCAATCCGCTTTGACTCTATGCGCAAGCGCAGCCAGCTGCGTCACAGGAGGAAAGGGGGCAAACACTGAACCTTAAGGTTTCCCGGGTCTGCAACAGGGGGGAGCGGGGAAACATCAGACCTTTAAGCTTTGCCACAAAGGACAGGGTTTCTCGAGGAGTGCGCCAGAGTCTGTTGTGCAACAAAGGAAAGTTGCAAACATCAGACCTTGGAGCACGTCAGGCCATGTGCTGCATCGAGGGCAAGGAGGCAAACATCAGACCTTGAGGTTTTCTTTGGGGGGCATCGGGTTTTGTGCTGCAACCTGGAAAAGGGAGCCAAGGTCAAGAGTTAAGGTTTTTGGGGGGACACATCACTCGATTCTCGCATCCCTTTGATAGCAGCAAACGTGAGACATGGAAGTCCCCCGGGGAGAGCATCGGAATGTGTCGTCTCGCACTTTGTGAGGGGGGCAAGCGTCCGACCGAAAAGTCCTCAACAGTTTCCCCGCAGACACATTGGCTTATCTTCTGCATCAAACCCTAAACCTTTAGGTTTTCCCGGAACACATCGATTATGCCCTGCATCAAAATCCGAAGCTTCAGGTTTAGAAAAGGAAAGGGGGCAAACCTCAAACCTTCAAGGTTCTTGCAAGGAACACGCCAGAGTATGTCTTGCATCAAGAAAGGAAACGCAACCTTCCGGTATCCCCGGGGAAATACATCAGATCGTGCTCTGCATAAAGGGAAAGGGGGCAAGGGTCAGATTTGCTGGGAGGGGCCAAGACAGAAGGGGCAGGCTAGCTTATCGCATTTTGACAGGAGGCCCGCGGAAGAAAGGGCTTCCACCTTTAAGCAGATGAACAAGAGGGTTTAAAAAGACATGCGATGTTGCCCCGGCAAGAGCTGGTCGTTTCATATATGTGGGGCCACAACAGTCACACAATGGCTTCCTTTTGGCTACCTGCAAGCCAAGTCCGAAAATTGGCACCCTCCCAGCAGGCTATGAGTCCAAGCCTCAGCGCGGCCCGCCTTGCAGCAAGGTTCCGGCGGGCCACAAAAGGGCGGCAGGGTCGGGGCTGCGCCTAAAGGCATTTTTATGTATTCGTTACGCTCCGTTACGCTGCCTTTAAAAAATGCCTTTAAAAAAGAGTGGCGTTCTTGGACTCATAGCCTGCTGGGAGGGTGCCAATTTTCGGACTTGGCTTGCAGGTAGCCAAAAGGAAGCCATTGTGTGACTGTTGTGGCCCCACATATATGAAACGACCAGCTCTTTCCGGGGCAACATCGCATGTCTTTTTAAACCCTCTTGTTGATCTGCTTAAAGGTGGAAGCCCTTTCTTCCGCGGGCCTCCTGTCAAAATGCGCTAAGGTAGCCTGCCCCTTCTGTCTTGGCCCCTCCCAGCAAATCTGACCCTTGCCCCCTTTCCCTTTATGCAGAGCACGATCTGATGTATTTCCCCGGGGATACCGGAAGGTTGCGTTTCCTTTCTTGATGTAAGACATACTCTGGCGTGTTCCTTGCAAGAACCTTGAAGGTTTGAGGTTTGCCCCCTTTCCTTTTCTAAACCTGAAGCTTCGGATTTTGATGCAGGGCATAATCGATGTGTTCCGAGAAAATCTTAAGGTTTAGGGTTTGATGCAGAAGATAAGCCAATGTGCCTGCAGAGAAATTGTTGAGGACTTTTCGGTCGGACGCTTGCCCCCCTCACAAAGTGCGAGACGACACATTCCGATGCTCTCCCCGGGAGACTTCCATGTCTCACGTTTGCTGCTATCAAAGGGATGCGAGAATCAAGTTATGTGTCCCCCCAAAAACCTTAAGTCTTGACCTTTGCTCCCTTTTCCAGGTTGCAGCACAAAACCCGATGCCCCCCAAAGAAAACCTCAAGGTCTGATGTTTGCCTCCTTGCCCTCGATGCAGCACATGGCCTGAAGTGCTCCAAGGTCTGATGTTTGCAACTTTCCTTTGTTGCACAACAGACTCTGGCCCACTCCTCGAGAAACCCTGTCCTTTGTGGCAAAGCTTAAAGGTCTGATGTTTCCCCGCTCCCCCCTGTTGCAGACCCGGGAAACCTTAAGGTTCAGTGTTTGCCCCCTTTCCTCCTGTGACGCAGCTGGCTGCGCTTGCGCATAGAGTCAAAGCGGATTGCGCTGCTCGGAGCAAGTTTTGCTAGGGCGCCCTCGCGCTTGACTTAAGGGAGCGGGACGGCCTTTTTGTGTCCGCGCATTTCCCTTCAGTTGCCTAAAGTTATGGGCTTTGTTGAACACACGTCGGAGTTTCCTCTGCATCATTGCATCATAATCAAGAGTGCAGTAAGAAGGCAAAAGGCCTGCAAAAGAGATCGCTGTGCTTTGTAGGGCCAACATCTGAAGGCTGGGTCACGTCAAATACAACCCACGCTGATGAGGGCAACTGCCTGCTCGTGCCCCCAAGCTTTCCGCAGAAGGGCTTAAGTCATTGCCAGGCAAAGCCTGAAGGGTTGAGTGGGACTTTCGCAAGGCGAATATTCGCGAGTGGATCTGCTAAATAACAGCAGCGCTTCGATTCTCGCCAGACTTGCAGACTCGACGGACAAGAAGAGATGAATGCGCAACCCAAATGCCCTCCAGGAAAGCCTTAGAGCTCGATGTTTGAAACAGAGCACGGTGTGCGTGATTATTTGACGGCAGGTATCTTGCTAGCCCCTTAACACATGTAGCCAAACCCTGAACTTCCTGGATTAAGAAAAGGAATTGCCACGTGACAACTGAAAAGCCAAACTTGGAGTTGTGGAACGTTTGAACCCCTCCTTACTCAGACGAATCATCGACGAATGGAAGCGCCCCTTCTTTGCTCCTGGCTCTCTACTGCTGAAACTCTGCGAGGGTGCAGCGCTTCGGAGCTAAAGCAACTGCCTGGAATCGGAGGGCTGGGGCCTTGTGCGTGCCCGTCTGAAGTACGGAGGACAATATCACAGAGTTACACAAATTGCCTCGGAGCAAGAAGCCTGCGGGGCCTTTGCAGCTAGTTTGGGCACTCGCTCCACAAATTGGGCGAAGGTTGCCCAATAACCAAGAAGCCCCAATAAGCTTCACTGGCTGACCTGTCCGTTGATTTGGCCAGCGCAAAACTAGTGTGTGTTTTTGTCGGGCTTATAAGTCATTCCGTGTGATTGTATAGATGGGAGCATGAACCATGTTGGATTTTGCTGTGGAGCAGCTTTCACAAAAGCTTGAATTTGTGGCTTTAACTAAAACTCAGCTGGCTCTTGGGGGAAACACCGTTCTGGATTCCATGTTGGTTGAGCACGATTAGGATTCATAAAGCTTCTGAATCACACATTGCTCGGTATTAATATTGGTTTGGGTCGATGCGTTTTTGAGAGCAAGTGGTGTGTTGCGAAGTTTGACTGAGCATTCATTTGTCGAAGTGAATTTCAGCTGTCAGAACCCCGACTTGGCAGTGGGGATCAAGCGCCCCAGCACTCTGCTGGCCAGCGAAAGCATTGGGCCCTTCCTGGTCCTTCCCATGGCTGCTATGCCATGCGTCTAAAGACAACGGTGGGGATTAGATCTTTTGCGCGGGTGCGTGCTTATGTTATAAAGCATTCTTCTTCGGGGGGCGCATGCGCGTAGCATAGCGTTTCATCTTTGCAGCGAGGACGCTTGCTAATCCTTGGAAGGACGCACTGCCGAGCCAACATAAGCAGAATGAGGACTTTGGACTTTGGACAGCAAACCCGATTTCCGATAATGCAAGACCCGATTTCCGACAGCGCACGCGACTTGCGACAACGCAAGGCCCGATTTCCGACAACGCACCTGATTTCCAACAATGCACCCTATTTTCCACAATGCAAAGCCCAATTTCCGACAATGCAGGCTCCCTGGGCCTGCATTCAAATGCACGCTCCCTCGCCCTACACTGCCGACCATGACCTATTTGCATGCACGGATTCTCAGGGCATAATATCGTTGTATGTCGACATGGGCGAGCTCGTGACGAAACAAACCAGTGCACATTTTTGCCCGGACCATTTGGGGTTGTCTTTTCTTGAAGGTACCCACAAATGGTGGTTTTCCTTTTGGTGTCCTCTTAAAGCCATCACAAAAGAGGATTCCCTGAAAAAGACACACCCGTTTCCCTTTGACACCTTCGGAAGCAGGCACGAGAAGGTGCCAAATCACTGGCAACAGGATGGGCCACTGAGGGCGCGTGGGCTGAATGCAACACATGCTTATCATGGGCAATCAGCCCTCCGTGATTCCCTGGCTCTCACACCGGAAGGTGGACCGTTTGCATTTGGGCACAAACATGTGCATTGCTCCAAAGACCTTGGGAAAGCAAAAACCAAACAGATCGGCAAAAACAAAAGTCTACCTGGAAAAAAAAGCATCAGTCCGGAGCCGCCATGCCAACCGGGGTTGCCCCGGCCGGGTGCTCTTGTTTGAGGTTCTTTGCATGGTGGTGTAAGCCGCGCTCACTTGCCCAAAGGACCTCGAATTGACGGTTAACCTTTCAAGGCCTGTGCTCACAGCGGTCGGCAAAAAGGCAAAACTGGAAGGTCACAAAGTCGGCTTTGAACAGTATGCCCTGACAGGTGGTTCTCATGTTCGTTCTGGGCATGCAGGACCAGTACCTACCGCCGACTGCATGTCAGCAACTATAACAAATCATCTTTTGGAGGTTTGCAAACATAAAAATAACTAATGTTTGTTCCTTCTTCTTTTTCTTCCGAAATTGCTTTTCTGTCTACCTAGAAACCCTTTTGGAGGCCACACACACCCCCAGCACTCTCGGTGTTACCTGGCCCCCCCTTCTTTCTCCAGCTTCCGCGCCTCATGGAAGAGTTCGGTAGGCGCCTCTGGCGTGACTCGATCGATCCATCTTTGCAGTTTTACGATATCTGCGGATTTTTGCGTATTTGTATCACAATCCCAAAACCATCCATCCGTAAAACCATCTGCAAGCTTTCTTTTACAACTCCAAACCTGAAGGGGTGTCATTTGGGTCTGGGTCAAATTATACAAGCCAGGAAATGGACTGCAGGTGTTGGTCCATGTTTCCATTTACCAGGGCAACCCATTTTGGGTACCTATTTTTGACCCGCAGCCATTTGGAAAATGCAGGCTCCAACAAAAGAGTCAACATGTCTCCATTCCCCCTGGCAGATATGCGCAAGGAGCAAATGGAAGAAGGGCATACTTGCATAATCATCTGCCATAGGAAAAAAAAGCAAACAAAAGAAAACCGTCCATCTGTATAACCATCTGCAAAATCTACAACTCCAAACCTGAAAGAGAGCACCAGGCAAAGGACCTTTGTCATGGTAAGCTCGTTATACATTCCCAGATGAGCTCGCTATAAAATAGGCAGATCCATCCAGGGATGTTGAATAACGGCATTGGCCACACAGCAACCATTGAGTGAGGGTACGACACCCAACACAAGTTGAGCAGTCGAGACTTACAGACTGCGTAATATTCCGCTGCAATCGCCCATCCCAACATGTAATTCAATGGGTGAGCGTTGAGCATACAGTTAAGCTCATGAATTTTACCTAGACCCCCCAACTACCCCAAACACACACACACACATCAACGATTGATCTACTTCAGCTTCTGCAGCGGGTATGTTTGGTGTCAAGTAGCCAGTGATTCCGTAGTTGATGGGTCGCCTAAGTTATGCTGCTGATTGAGGGAGATTCTAGGCCAAGACCCGAACAAACACGTGATCTTCCACTTGCTTAAGCTCCCTGGAAAATAACGCCTGTTTCCAGTTGTGATAGACTCCCGTAAAACCAACAAGAAACAATAAGACATACCCTTAAGCAAATGGAAGTGATACTAGAGGTCAATCAGCTGAGATGCTCTTACTTCCCCCTTGGCGGGGTTATCATTTAGGTGTGCTTGGGGGTCAGTCGGCTTTCACCTGTCAGATCCTGTCCGTGGCAACAGGATCTAGCGTCGCCGGGGCAATAGCAAGTCACTTGAAGCAGGAGATAGCCGGAATTATAATAACTAGCTACCTGGTTCAGGCGAACTCCTGAAGACTTGGTTCCGAGCTTCCATAGTCTGAGTATATAGGTAACTTCAAGGGATTTGGGAATGATCAATTGGATCAATCACAGGCCACAACTCACTTCCTGCGTGAATTTCAAAAAAAAAGGAGTCTGAGCTTACTTTTTTGTCCCACTAAGATTTTGGTCTTCACCAAAAAAGCCTAAGGTTCAGGAGCTCAGGGAGTGAGACAGGCCGCTGTTGTCTGCGCAACCCCTACATCGAAACTGTGACCAAGCAGGAGCTGCAGAAAGGTCAAATCTTTGACTTCAATCGGTGGACACGAAATCCTTCAATCGGTGCTGGACACGGAAACCACCGAGTTTCCCTTTTCTTTGCCGTTGACCCCCTGCAAACAGTTTAACTTGTTGGGGGTTTAGTGGAAACGCCCTTGATTTTCCAAAAAGTTAAAGTCTAAAGATCCAACCCAATAGCAGTCAAGCTTCAAACCAACCTGAACAAAGCACCCTCAAAGACAGACACAGCCCCATCCGCAGCTCGGAAACCAATAGTTCTGGTAGCCAGTGCGGCAACCAATTTCAAAGGCGCAAAGTGGAAAGAGATAAGATTCTAAGATACTTTGACGCCTAACCTCCCCTCAAAAACAAAAGGGTACCAATCCCAATATATTTTTCGGTGAAGTCACCCCCTTTGCTTCTCCACAAGCTACATACTGCGCTCGCAAGAAACCCTGCTGACTGAAACCACCTACCAACTGGTGCAGGATTTCATCGCCCCTTGGTAAAACAAATACGCCATCTTCACGAGACTTCCAACTCCTCCGGCCTGGCTGTCCCACGCGCAGCCGCGCGGAGCAGCAAGCAGATCCGGCTGGTTTTTGAGCCGGGCTATGGCTGGGACAACAAATCGGTTGGCTGTGCCATTTACCCTTCCACCAATTAACATGGAACCTGATGTTCGGGTCCTGGAAGATAATCTTCCTAAAGCCCGGACCCCTTGAACAATTCACAATCCCACTTGAAGGCCATGGAAACAACTGCGCCGAGCCGAGAAATCCAAGTGGCGTGTAGCCACACAGCAAAACATCCTTGGCCGCCTCCAAGCGGATTCCGGCATTCATTTGCAACGACCAGAAACGGACTCAATTCCACACAGGTGGCTGAGCTTGCTTTTATGGGACCCCCCTCCCCCCCCAAGTTTCCCTTCAGCCACTCAAAAAGCGGCACCGGGGCACCCTACAAAAGACGAGCCGGCCACATTGCAAAAAAAACGGCCCCGCTCAACTGGCCCTCCCAAGTCCAAACCGGTCCCTCGCTGCGTTGCCCGGCCAACAGTCGCCAAATTGTCACCAGCTCGGGGCCCGACCAAGGGACGAAGAACCTGCGCGTGTTCACAGGCACTTGGATTCGCCAAGGTAGAAAGTTGTAACGGCGACCTAGGTTGCAACTCACCAAGAAGAGATATATATTTTTTTCCGCATCAATGAAACACTACTACTTGACACTTGTGTCGCCCCTTCCACACGTTTTGCTTGTTCAAAAAGCAACCCCCGAACATGAGAATGGAATGCCACAAAATCCTGTGTTGTTTTACATGTTTTACTTTTTAGGGAATAAGAAGAAAGCTGATGACAGCGCTGGCGCTTGAGAGGCGCCGCAACCTTGATTGAAAAAACCCAAGTGGGCAACATCTAACTTTGCGAATCGAGCCTCCTATGACTATGCTTCTCAAAATCACCCCCCACCTGAACATCTAGATTGTGCGACTCGGTGATGTTTGAACCCTCGCGTTTGGGTCCCCACAGAAAAACCCTTGCAGATTCACCAAGGGAAACTCACTTTAAAGTGAAACATGTGCTCCACAAAACGGTTGGTAATGTAGGGAACCCTTGCAAACCTTACAATAGATACACCTGGAATAAGACATGGATCCTGCAAATAGCCAGCTCGTTTTACCCCAGGATATGCTAAACCCGCCTTGTTGTCCTCCTCTCAGCCCCTCACTTCCTAATTGGATTGGCCAAAACCAGTTTGAGCGGTTGAATTCCGCTGTGATACAACGGAAAGGGCTTCCCTAAGACGAACCCCCCAAAGGGGAGATTCCCTTACAGAAGTGGTTGGATAAACCTCGAGTGATCCCACAACCCTGAGTGTGAACCTTTCATGTACCACCAAGTCTCAAATGGGGTCCCTCTTTCTGGATGGTAATCCTCCATTTGCGGCGACGTCCCCTGGAACAAAAAACAAAAAACAAAACAAATATGTCCGGTAGTGATAGATTTCCTGGCTATGACCTCCACGCGCACTTGTCAACAATGACATTTACATCATGTTATCAGGCTTGCCTGATCAGAAGCACCATTCACCTGCTTTCCAAAGCTGGTTGGTACAGATCAAACAGTTCCAAACTTGCATCTGCTTAAGGTTTCTGGGAAAATACTTCCAGTAGTGATGGATTCCCTTTAAAAACAATAAGGGAACAGCAAATACTCACTTCAGCAAACTATGTAAGAAACTGCTTTGGACCAAGTTGCGAACATCCGGGGACCCCTCTCCCCCGCGTAAGTAAGACCCTCCACCAACGAAAACAGGCACCAGGCGCCTCTGCACGGCCGTCCACGGCTAAGTCGACTTGAAAACGCGCCACCAAAAGAAAGGGGAAACAGGAAACCACTAAAGTGAAACCTCAAAACAAAAACCCGGTTGCCCAAAGAACCCAAAAAAACACCGCTCGTGCTTCGGGGCCCTGACTAAACAAATGCAGTGCGATGAGAAAGCGTGACTGCCGATCCGATCGGGTGTGCCGGGTGCGCGCCGGGTACGTGCCGGGTAAAAAACGGAAAGGCCGAAAGGCATGATGTCCTCGAAGGAAAAGTGACACTCGCTAGAGAGGATTGGCCAAGAAAAGAACAGGTCCTCAAACTTTGTGTTCAATCCAAACCAAAACGATCCAAGTCAAACCAATAGCGATCCAAACCTTTCGCTAAAACGATCCAAACCAAAAGGACGAAGCCCCAACGCGAGACCACGGCCCTCCAACAGGTCGATTCCAGGCCTCCGAGTTGGCGGAGAACCTGACCGGGGCCTTTGAAAGAAACAAATGATCCAAACCAGGACCCCACCCCCAAAGCGAACCTCGAAGGGTTCAGGCTGGGAGGGTAAATCAAGGCTGAAATCGGAGGTCCACCAATTGGAAAGTCACAGCCACACATCATTTTTGGAGTCAAAGTGTCCATGTGGGATCGGATTTGTCCTCTTTCCACCAAAAAGGTGGATTGCAGCATGGTCGCAAACAATGGAAGCGGACAGCTGGTTTTTGGAATACCGTCTTTGTGGGGAAGACTTCCACGATTGCTGAAAGGAGAATATATATATATATATATATATATATATTGCCTCCACTGAACAAGAATCACGATGATCAGAAACACAAATACATCCAAACAACGGAAGCCTACTTTTATTCATCCGAAGAAGGTTCCCTTAATGTTGCGACCCCATATTAATCTATCTAAAAGCGGTCTGATTTCAACCGCCGAATCCAGAAAATGGGGACACCCTTCTATGATTCATATGGGGTCAACATATTACCTCCACACCAAGGCATCTTTATTTGGGCCCAGTTCCTTGAGCTGGGCCTCGGCTGGCACTTGGCGCCAGACGCGAAGGGCGGTTGCTTTGTTCGGCCTCGGCCGAACTGACACCTATCCTTGACTTTGCTTAAGCCCCAAAAACACATATAGCCACTAGTGATCGATCCAACAAGGGCAAACAAAACAGATTCATGTCGTTTTGCAACTGTTTGCTGGTTGGCAAGTGGCGTCATCCCCTGCAACCGTTTGCTCGTCCCTTTTTTCACCCAGGCAGCTGTCCGAATGGCCTTGCTTCTTCTAGCCAAAGAGCTCCAACCATTTCTTAAACGCGAGGCTTGCAAACTCGCAATCAGCTTATCTCTAGTTGGTTTGGATTGGTGGTTTGGTGGTCAAGGGGTTGCAAATTAACCCACAACAGCCAGGGGTTCACATCCAAATTGAATCCACCAATCCAAACCACCAACTAAGGGTTACCTGACGTAAGGCTTTCATGAATCGGCCTTTTGACTAGGTCAGCTCGCGGAAAATAACACGAAAGGCGGACTAAAACGTCCCCTTCCTGTTTCCTTTTGAACAAGACAAGCACAAGCTATTTCGTTGCTGGTTTTTCTTCAGGCTAAGGCATGGGGACATGGATGGTGTTCTCGGCAAGCTGCTTCCCAACTCGCCAGCTTCAGATTTGCTGTGCGCATTTTCCACTTGGACCAGTCTGCGAACCTGACCCTCGCCATTCGGTAAGCCCGAACTCTAAGCAAGTATGTCATCTGTCCGGTAAAACACGACACTAACAAGTTCGAAGCCTGCTTTGGGCGTGTGCATGTAAGGGCCTAAAAAGATACAATGGAAAGGGGCTGAGGGCTAATTGCAGAACCAACTTATTGTGTCATTATCGGTTCGTGAAATCATAGGAGAACAATATGGCCTGTAGTGGCTTAAAGGGCCCGCCTTTCCGGAAAACGAGCAGAGTGACCACCCGGATAGGAGCGCGCCTCCGGGAACAGCAGGAAGAAGGCTGGCCATGCCATACCGTGGCCATGACTGTGGATCAAACATATCTGGGCTGCCCTCACATCCCCTGCTAAAAGCTTAACTTTTGGTGGGGAAAATGGAAACACTAAACTCTAAAAGCCTAAAAGGCTAAGGGGACGCGGCTGGGGGCCACCAAGATATGGGAGCTTCTCAAAATGATCAACTTGGTGCCATAAAAAAAAATCTCGGTTTCAACCGGGTTGGTCCACAATCATGTATACCCCCGAACCCCAGGTGTAGAAACCCCATGTTTCTTTGTTTGCCAAATTAGTTGGAACACCTCTGCCCAGTTTGAGCTTTCGTGCCACACATGTACAAAATGGAAACTAAGCAGGTAGCAAGTCTCTCAGCCTTGGTCTTCCAAACAAAAATGGTGTCCAAAGATCAAAGCGGCGTTTGCGCAAGTCCCAAAAATGGCCCCAGGGATGCCGATTTGCTAGCAATCGTCATAGTATTTGGCGAATGTGCTACTTGGTCTCACCGGTTGGTCAAAAAAGGACTAACCGTTTTGAGAGCCACAAACATAGCCCTTCCCATCACATGAAGTCCAGGAACTCAGGAAGTAAGTGGTAATTTGGCGAGTCCCCGCATCGCCCCCTCCAAAGGACAGCAATTATAGACCCTTGCTCGAGTGACGCTTAAGCCAGCGGCTCGGATATCGGTGCACAGAAACACCAACCCAGGCCCGTCAACCACTAAGAATGCCCAGCTTTGCTTGATAACGAGGCTTCAAATCTGGCGATGCAGTTTTGCATCTAGCGCTGACAAATACACAAATACGCCCACGTGTTTGGATTGCAAGATATCTACATTAGTTGTCGCTCCGAATGGTGAGCTCGGAACCTGGAAAAGAACTTGGCAGATAGGGTCCGTTTGTTTGCGCGGGAAAGAAATGCCCGGAGCATCTTTGGACTGCAAACTGGGAGCCCCTTGGGGCACTAACGGTCCGGAACGTCTGAGAAGAAAGAGCCCGCTTTCTGCGTATAACAGGGGAAGACAAACATATATATATATATATATATGTATGCCAATGTTTCGGGCTCTATTTTTTGAGCACTTCCACAGATGCTTGTTTGCACACAGGAATCTCGAATACTTATTCAGGGGGTATTCAATACTAGGGGAGAAAAAGTTGTCCTTTCATTTGGGCATTCCCTGGGGCAAAGAAACTTTGTGGGCCCTTTGTAGTGGTCTCCCAATGTGGAGTATGGAAATTCAGAGTGGTCAGCCCTCCATTTTGAACAGAGGTTGAGCAACAACAATGCCCCCCCTAGACTAGAGACGAAGAAACCAGGATTTGCTCGGCCAGCCGTTTCTCCCGGGGATCCCCGGAAAGAATGGGACACGGAAGCTACCCCTAATTGTTTACATGGAAAAAAACACAAACACACACCAAACATCACGAATAAAAAGATAAGCACAAAAAAATGCACACCACACAAAACCACCAAACACCCCAAACAAAAAATGCCAAACAATTGACCCATAAACTGAGGCTGCCCTTGCAGGTGTTGCCGTTGAGATCTTTCAGTCCGCTTTTGCACGAAAAAGACCGAACGCTGTACTTGCAAGAGCAAGAGAGGAAGTCTGTGATGTCGTGCTTCCTCCCAAAAGCTTCAAATTTGGATTGTTCGTGAAGGATGCGCCAGTACTTCCTCCCCTGGAAATGTCTATACTTTGAAAGCCAAATGCATATAGAGCAGGCTTCGCAAGAAGCAGGCGCTTCTGCTAAGCCGCTTTTGCGCTTTATCGAACGTGGCCCTGTGCCGACAACAGAAACAAAGGATCTGAGTATGTACATCCCATGCCCGTCAGCTGCCTGCGTTGCCGCACTTCTCCCAAGCTTTCCGCAAGGCAAAATTTCGGGACATGTCTGATGCTGGACCATATTTGGTTTGCCTTACATCGTAAAGTCATAATTGTGGCTGAAAAAATGATACCCAACAAATGGCATCAAAGATCAAGACCTACGCAGCCATGAAATTTTGAGCCACACCCGTGTGCATGGTACACTAACCTTCATTTGCCAAAGTTTCCGGGAAAACATAAGGCACAAAACCAGTAGTGATGGATGTCCTTAAGCACCAAAGGAAGCAACGACTTGTCTTCAGCTTCATGGGCGATAATGATAATGAGCTCTCAGATGTGGGTCTCTTTGTCAGGCTAGCCCGATCTCAACTAGTAACCAACCAAAATTCGTGCACACTTTTGGACCACCACAAAAATAAAGGGAGCTCCACCACGAAAGAAAGTATAAAGTGTGTCCACTGGCTGGGTATGTAGCAATGTGCTCTCAGATGTGGGTCTCTGCATTTTGACCCTAAGAGTGGACCTTGCTTACGAAACTCCTCATGGGAGTTTTCCAAGACAAAGCTATTTGGGACTGGCCAGGCTTGCTTCATGTAATCAGCAACATAGGGGTATCCTGATTTGTTGGCTTCAGGGAACCAAAAACAAAGCAACCATTTACATCCCCTCAAACCTTGGCAGTTTCTCACAGTTTTCACTGCCCAAATCCTGGTCCAACATGGAGGGCTTGCTCTTAGTTGGATTCCCGAAAATAGGTTTGGGGGTGGTTCCCTTTTACCCACAAGAATCAATCCCCCAGGCCACCAATCCAAACCACCAAATAAGGGATGCCTAATCAGCTTGGATGGAAACAAGTCTGCCCCGTCCCTTGGTTTACCCAAAGAGCCGCAAGCAGTTCGACCATTCTTCTCCTTCGAAGGGTTTGCCCAAAGCCAACCCAGAGTCAAATACGCTGGGTGAGATACATCACGAAGGCTATGGGGAGGGGGACTATCCCGTATCAACCCCTTAATATCCCTTAATTATCTAGCCCCCTATAGGCCCCTCCTAGAAAACAGAAACAACAAAGACAAACCCACATCCTCAAGCCTTGAGATGGTGGGGTGGCGGGGTGTCCCACCAAACTTGCCTAAATAAATGTACTCCAACCTTTAAGATTCACTTCAGACCCACACCCGCAATCCAAACCCCGTAGACGACGTCGACCATACCAGCAGCATCACCATCGTCATCACCACCAGGCCCATTATTCTTGTGTCCATTGAACTCCTTCATCTCGCAAAGCGTTTTGCCAGATTTCATGAGGGCTGCCAACCGCACCGATCTCACCTCCCTACTAATAGGGAGGCAGTGGGTGTCTTGCGTTTGCTTGGGCGTTCCAGCTGTGTGCCCCCATCCGTCCTGAAGATGTTGACCTCGTAGCGCAGCACTGCCAGTGCAATGGACTGGCATTCCATAATTGTGTGGCAATACCCCCTTTAAAGGGAACCAGATACCCTCAAATCATAAAGCAGTCGGTACCCTCAGACACACCCATTCGAGTCAAAATCACAACCCGCTATTAACAAAATCTTCTACCCATTCCGGGGATTCTGCCTTGCCCTCCAATCACCCAGGATTTAACAGTGCCGCTTTTTTTTTTAAATAGGTTTTTCCTGCTGATGCTCAGCAGGAAATGAGGGAATGAACTTCATGACGGGTCCCCTTAAAGGAAACCACAGTTGAATGGTTTATCTCGGGGTCAATCCAGTTCTCATTCCCTGCACCTCTCGCACCAGCAAGTTTTAACTCCTTTTGGTTTACGGGCAACCGACAGGAAGCCACACTTGGTGGGTTCCTTGCGCACCTACAAGCTTCTTCTTCCTTGTTTTGGAGAGAGTGTAAAAACATCGCTGGCGTTGGTCCATTTGAAGAAGGAACACCACCTTTGGGGGGGGGTCTTGAAAAAAAAGGGCACACATCCAACTGATGGCGTTCCTGTTCCCAGACTGTGAATGAATATGTGAGGTTGGTTCCCTGAATCCCCACTAAGAACCCAGAAATGGGACACCCCCATAAACCAGCAACACCCCTGTACGGCTGTTGTTAAAAAAATAGGTACCCAGAATGGCTTGCCCTGGTAAATTGAGACATGGACCAAAACCTGCGGTCCATTTCCTGGATTAATTTTGACCCATACCCATCCAGCAACACCCCCATAAACCAGCAACACCCCCACAAACCAGCAATGGAGTCGATAAAAAAAAAAACAGGGGTCGATTCATCCGGAGTCAACAAATTAAAACTTCCCCTAATGGAGGTACCAATAGCTATTGGGATTATCATTTTGGAGAAGCTAAATATCTAGTAACCCCAGTAAGGGTTCACCTGGACAAATTAAAACATCCCGCGTCGGATCGGAGAAAACGAAACTCCCGCCGCCTCGGACAACGAATCTCCCGCGGCCTCGGAGCTCAGGAGCTCAGGAGCTCAGGAGCTCAGCTGCCGCGATCCTGGAAGGCGTGGAGTCGCGGCCCCGCAACAAACAAGCCAAGCAACCAACCCAAAACAACAGAATGATAAAATTTAGAAAGAAGGAAGGAAATAATGAAATAAAGAAGGAAAGAAAGAAGGACATAAAGAAGGAAAGAAAGAAGGAAAGAAAGAACGAAAGAAAGAAATAAAGAAGGAAAGAAGACAGGAAAAAAAGAAGGAAAGAAAGAAGGACATAAAGAAGGAAAGAAATAAGGAAATAAAGAAGGAAAGAAAGCAGGAATGAAGGACAACATAAATGAAAGAAGGAAATAAGGAAACAAATGAAAGAAGGAAAAAAAAACGAAAGAAGCAAAGAAGCAAAGAAGGAAAGAAGGAAAGAAGGAAAGAAGGAAGGAAACAAGGACATGAAGACATGATCATACCAGCGTAGACCAAAATAATCATACCAGCGTAGACCACAAAAAGATTGGTAAGCAAGCCCAACAAGCAAACAACAATGACACTGGAAGGAGCAAGTCTGTTTCTCCTCACTCGAGCGCCACATTTTTACAAAATGATCTGGGGAGACAATTGCAGGCATAGAGTGGGAGACAAACAGGAAAGAAATACTGGAAAATAGAAAGCAGGAACGAAAAAATGGAGAAAGAAAGAAAGAAAGAAAGAACGAAAGAAATAAATACAGATACAAGGAAAGAAAGACACAAGGAAAGAAAGACACAAGGAAAGGAGGAAATAAGGCAAACATGACCAAATAAATTAATAAAGAACCCCAAACACAAAGAAAACACACGCAATACACAGATAATTCAAGACAGCAACAAAGAAGGACCGAATGGAATCATCTCCACGCCCAAACTAGGACAAACAGTGCTGGGCAATGTCAACTTTGGATTCATCCAAAGGATCTCACTACTCAGAGGTTCTCTTTTGACTGCGAAGTTGATTCGCGCTCTGAGCATTCTGGAACCTTCATGAGTTCCTCGGTGGATCCCCGAAGCCATTGGTGAGCTCAAAGTGTAAAACAGGCAGAAGGATCTGTGAGCCAACTAGCAAAGCCGATGATGCCGACTCGAACATGGGAACCTTGAGCTTGTCATCTTGCCATCTATTTCCTGGCCATCATACTTGTAAACTACTTAACAACCTAAACGAAACCAAACTTTCCAACTCCCCTTCCAAATGACAAACGTAGAACCCGCAGAGGGATTGGAAGACCATGTTCTCTTTAAGGGCACCGGCTCCTATGCCGGTTCCATGTTTGTTTCTGAGAAAGGTTTGTCTAAACCAAGCTAAGCTCCTCAACTCAGTTGTTCAGTGACCCTGGAAAAAAGGGAACCCTTTTTGAGGAAGACCATTCTTAGTGGGGCAGCCACCAAACAGAACAACAGGGTGCCACTGAACAACTGAGTCAAAAGGTGAAGTGCCATCCGTCCTGCGGCAAGGAGCCCTCTTCCTGCAGCTTCTTCAGTTCCTCCAGCTGCTCCTTGGAGACCTGCCATGGAAAGCGAGGCATGACAGGACCCCCAGGACCCCCCCCCGACATGTCCCCTGGAAATCATCTGGGCTGTCCGTTTGCTGATGCCCTGCTAAAAGTGACTAACTTTTGGTGGGTGAAATGGAAACCCCCACCAAACCCTGAAAAGCAAACAAGCTAAGGAACCGGATGGCTGGGAAAGCCGACGCACTGAGGACCCCGGATCTAAGTCGAACCCCTCCCATTGGGATGGGGGGGCACACCCCGCTGCATAAACTGGGGTTGATTGATCTGGGGTCAACATTGCCCCGCTTAGGAAACCGCTCTAAAATTGCCTAAAGTGAGGCTCCTAAAGCAAGCTCCCTTGAGATTGGCCCAAGAATGTGTAAAAGCCGCGAGTGCGGAAAGGTGTTAAACGTATTGTGGACCTAGCCTGTTTGGACCACACACACATCGTTCTCATGGTTTACACATGAATCGCTTGTTGCGACGATCCAAAAGTGCAACAAACAATGGCATCCCCCAAAAGTCAAAGCCAGAAGATAGAGCTTGAAAAAGCAGAGAGAAGAACGTGATTACTAGAAGTTGAACAAACATAGAGCTAGGCACTGGGAAAGTAGTTGGCTCATAGACTCGTAACATGAGTAGAAACGATCATGTTCCTCGGTACTTGGAAGCAAATGACTTGATGCCCAGAAGGCGCTGGTTGATCAACTGTCTCCTCTGAATATGACCGGGAAACAGACCATACATCATATCGAGTTTGTGGCCTTCCCGAAGAACTCCAGCCAAACAGAAATGATGAAACAGAGCGGTTGGCAGAAGGGAAACGACCTCAGTTTCTGACCTTGGTTATCTCAAAAGCAGTTAAAAGCATGATCTCAGTAGAAACTGGTACACACATGGAATGATCATTCCTTGCGGCTGGATGTTTCAGGCGGTCGGTGAAATATCAGACCTGCTAGTTCAATTCCATACCAATTGTGTGATACATCAGGAGCCCGCAACAACAACAAATCATGTCCTTCCATTCGCTTACCCCCCCCCCCCCCCAAAAAAAAAGAAAAAAACAGTAGTAATAGATTCCCGTTCAAACCAACAAGGGAAACCACACATATGTTAAGCACATTAATTAATGTATACGTTTCCTTCTGTGCTCTATCAAATTAGTTGCCGTTAAGCTCACTCGCCATTTTGTACCCAGCCAAGCACCAATTGGACATTAGGCCAACAGGACCCACCCGCTTCGACCTTCGCCAGTGCTCGATATGACGCGGTGCTCATTTCAGCATCAGTGACCCGGGTTCCCGGTCTGAAGAACCCTATTTCACGCCTCACTAGTTTCTTGATGCGCCCGAGTCAAACAACCTAAAACTACCTAAGAGTCTCCGCGACCCCGGCCCTAAATATACACCACCCGAAAGCACTCACGAAATGGGTGCCGTCAACATGCGTACCATCAAAATGGGTGCAAAGTAGAATAGCCGTTTCGTCGGTTCGCTTGCAATGCCAAACACATCCAACACCGCCAAACCAGGTTGTGCACTTGCAGTGTGTTTGACGAGTTCAGAACCTCAAATACGGTGGACTCTTTGGCTTTCTTCCAAAAACGGTAGAGGTTGCAACCCTATTTCAAAAGAGGGTAAAGGCACAACCAAAAACGCTGTCATCCCATGTTGCAAGGCCCCGGTAAGGCTCCTTCTTCTGTTTTTGTATGAGGACGGCAAGAACGAGTCCCAACAGGCTTCGTTTTCCCCCATGAAACCATTCCTAGTGTTCCCAACCTGCATCCGAATACAAGGTTTCCCATATTCCGTTTAAACATCTTGGGCGAATTATACAGTGAAACAACCTCAAACTAGTGGTTTTAGAGTGGTTGTATATGCCCCACAAGTCTTGCTGTTTCTTAGCAGCGACCCCTGAGAACCATTCATCCTATGGTGTCCTTTTTTCGGGAATCCACAAATTGTTTCATTCCCAAAACAGGTCATTCCCTACCTATCGCACCAGCAAGCAATCAGCATGCAGATGGTGAGGAAATCAGTGGCGACGCTGTCGACTGCTTGGTGCCTCTGCCGTGCGGGCGGACTCCAGCTGCTTCTCATCGTCGGAGATCCTAAGCGCGACCCCGACATGCGCGCGAGGACGAAGAATTCTGCGGATGGTTGCGAAATCCATCCATTCGCACCACTGTTCAGAAGCCCTGGTGTCTGATTCGATTCCCATAGAAATACCCACAAGCAATCCCCGTCTGTGTCTTCAACGGAATCACTCGCACCTGGGGATGCCAGGGGCAAGTGATTTGAATAGTCCTGAGAGTGAAGTTGAAGTGCTCTTTGGCAATCTGAGATTTGTAGACAACCTGGTCTTCTTCGAAAGTCCAGAATCCACGCCAAGGGCCAAGGAAGCAGGCATACTGACCGCATACCCTTTTAGGGACTCCATGATTTCACATCTTTCCAGCCCAGGGTCTCCTCCAATGTTCTTTTTTGTACTTCTTCGTTTTGAAGGTTAACCCCAGTCCATTGGCACCTACTTTCCGTTTGGTTTTGGTTCTTTCGAATAGTCCTGGTTCCAAAATATATAGGCTTCCCCTTTGCTCTGGTTACTGGGCAATCGGGGTAAGAGACACACAGAAAACCCAACAACAATCCGGGTGTTTGTTGGACCACTGCACAAGTCAGCCTGGAAGACCAAGACGTGTTTTTTGTTTGAAAGCAGCTTTGGCTTGGCATGTGCCTTTGTTACCAACACGTTCCTTGTGCGCTAGGGTCACCATAATACTTATTCTCGGACAAGTTTACTGCCACAATGTGTGGGTAGTTGAAAGCCCTGGGCTTCTTTGAGGGGCTTTTAAGGGTAGATATCCCCTTGGACCCCCCCTTTAGGGACTCCACACTTGAGGCAACGGCAGGAAAGAGTCTGCCACCTCGCTCACAGCCTGGCGGCAAAACAAAACGCAAGCGTTTGCTTTGGTTGCGGCCTCCCTTACCTCACTTGCTCAGTTTGGATGCAGAAATCAAAGGTCATAACCTTTGTGGGCCATGACTCAAAATGGGAACCCAAATCAGGAAAACCAAAACGGTACAAGGTCATTCGCTTTGGTTACAAGTGAGCATTCTCCCACCCAAAAGCCTCTCAAGCCCGATAGCTATTGGTGGGTTTACTCAGCTTCCCTCTTGATCCAGGGGCTCCTTCTCCCCAACGCAGTCGTCGGATTTCGCAAAGTCCAAAGCTCTTTAGGACAAACGGGTTTTGAGCTGTCCGAGTCTCGGAGTCGAAGATGGACCCAACATCACTGGGAAACAGACCTTCTTGGGTTCCATGCAATCACTTGATTCCTTCCCAACCCTGGTACATTCGCCAAAACCCCCTTGGTTTGCTTCCCAAAGATGAACAAAAACCTAAGCAAACAACTCTAACCCAACACGACCAGCCGAAGCTTGGGCCAAGAGCCCGCCCGAAGTCACTAATGTGAGGGAATGACAATGACTCACAAGGAGTTCTTCGACAGGGCCATGAGTAAAAACCAAGGATACCATCTTGGGATAGGTGCACCACCCATTTTAGGCGTTATTTTAGTGGTTGGAGTGGTTGGTGCTCACGGGGGGTACGATTTGGGTTTTGACCCATGGCCATATTGATGAATCTAGTCCTATAGATACTTGGCTACCTGTTTTAATCCTAAGCCTATTTTGTAGCTGGCAGCTGCAGAGTCCCTCAGCATGCGATCTCTTCCACGAGGTCTCGTGGGCGATTTCGCCCAGGCCCCACGCTCTGTGAAGTTGAGGTCCCTTTTGCAGGCTATAGATGGACTATGGATCCACATACGCCATATATGATAGACTAAAGATCCAAATGGGCTATATGTGATAGGCTATAGATCCAAAGAGGCTATACGTGATAGGCTGTAGATCCAAAAATAGGCCAAACAGGACTAATACAGGCCATAGGCAAAGGACTAAATATCATTGTCAAAACTCCCTTCTTCTAGTATGGGACATGGTCATTCCCTTAACAAGGAGCTTTTACGGTTGTCCAAGCTAAGGGGCCAATGACCGCCATGCACCCCACATAAGGGTGAAATGACCATATTATGGGGTTTCTCAACGTGGAGAATGCCGGCATTTAGTTGGTTTTTGTTTGCCAGTAAACCAGGGGGGAAGCCCTGTAGTAAACATGATTTAGGTCCAACTTGGAGTGGGCACCAATAATAGAATGGCTTCCTCTTGGTGTCCCTTCAAAATGAACCAAGGGTGCACTCAAAGAAAAACCTAAACCCAAATGGGTGCTTCTCAAAACAGGAGGCCCTACAATCATTAGGATGGTGTTTAAAGGGAAGCCAAAAGGAAACCAGAAGGAATCGGTTCCGAACATTTTGAGAAATACCCATATGAATGGGTCGTTTTTCAGGGGACCCCCCAAATTGGTGTTCCTTTAAGTTTCCCATTAAAACCGCCCAACACTTCCATTTGCTTAATTTGCGTGGAAGAAATGGGAACATATTTCAAGCAGTGAAGTCCATTTCCTTCAAAACCCACAGAGGAAAATAAACAAAAGTCCGAAACGCAAATGGGAGAAATATATATATATATATTGTTTCCCTTGTAAAACCAACACAAAAAGGAACCAAATCCCGAACAAAAATCTGGTTTCCCTTCAGGTTTCCCTGTAAAACCGCAAAGAAAAAAAGAAAAGGTACCAAAGGTACCAACTCCAAAAAGGAAAACGAGGGATCTGGCCGCCCTCACACGCCTCACTGAGCTGGCCCCAGTTGTTCCGTGACTCCGCGGCCGGGCCGGACACATCCAGCAGCCAGAGGTAGTAGGTGGGATCCTGCGAGCGGAGCCCCAATCAGAGGATCCAAGCCCCGCATTCACCGCCCAGAACCCCGGGTCCCCTAAAAAATATTCAATAAGGCTTGTTTGAGGAACCCAGTTTGCGGGGGAGGGGGGGGGGCCTTCCTACCTCCAAATACTCAATAAGGCTTGTTGGAGGAAAACAACCAACTTGCCTCAAAATACTGAATAAGGTTTGTTTGAAGAAACCCAGCCCGCGAAAAGGGGGGTTAGTCCTTGGCCATTCTGTTCAATCGTTCTTTTCTCAAAAACCAGCCAGTTCGCTCTCAACCTGGGTTTCTGGAGGCTTAGGAAGAGCCCTGGAAAGAATTGATTCGGAGTCCCGTCCTGAGGTGGTTCCTCTGGTAGGACACGGTAATACACGATCTACTTTTGGGGTTTCCCTGACCAGTACTTGGATGTTCGGCGAGATTTGTGTCTGTGATAAGAGTATAGGGTCTTTTCACCCCAACAAGGTTAACCCCACATTCACGGGGGACTCATAAGTGACTTGTAACCGAACGGTTACTATCCACTTACCAACTTGGCAAATCGAACGCACAAGTGGGGTACACTTGTGAAGCTCCATTTCAGCTTCCCAGCTGGTGGCTAGGATTGAAGGTCAAGGGTTACCAGGGTTCGAATACCCAACCAATGCAAACCACCAACATTTGCTTCAGTACCTAGAAAAAATGGGAGCATGTCCAGTAGTCATAGTTTCCCTTTAAAACGAGAAGCACGTATTGCAGAATCCTAGGGAAGCAACAGCATACTCCTGTGCCAACTAAGATGGAACTCGAAAAGTGTGTCCCCCAAAACAAGTCCTCGAAAAACGATGATGTTTCAACGCTGTTCCCACACGCTGACCGTATATAACATAATTTTGGAGAAGAAACGTGAACTCGAGTATCACCAAAAACAGTAGCTATGCGGGAAACGGAGATACACTTCATCTGGATTTGAAACCTCTGTGGCAAACAAATCGCAGAAGTCAGGACACAAAGTCCCCGAACGGATGTAACAAGGTGTTGTACTGTTGATCCCTGAACGTTTAACCGTCTTCTTGCAAACCCACAATCCCATGTGCCAACGGTACGGCTGAATGTTGACATGCCACCAGCATTCTTCTCGATGTCATCCCTCCAATCTCCCCGCACTTGGAGTCAATGGCTAGCGACGTTGGTTCATCACTTTTGGCGGAGAACTCCCCCATACTAATAAACTGGGGTTGATTAATCTGGGGCCAACATTGGTAACAAACCTTCCAAGTACGGGAGTGGTAAGGGTGTTATCCCCCTTTTACACTTCCTTCCAACCGCCAGCAAGGTCCTCCGGTAGAGAGATTAGAATAAGGGCACCCTTCTTTTCTTTAGTCTGTTTGAGTAGGGTAACTCCTCCCCCCAAAAGAGAAACAGTAAAAGGGCACTGGGGGACCTAGGCCAAAGGGAAATGGCTCCACTCGGATCGGATCGGCGTCCTTCACGCCTGCCTTAGTGGCGCCCTCGTCCGTGACCTCGGTGCTCAGCTCCCGGCCGCTTGGAGCGAGCCACGTGCCATGCGGAAGTTGCTCTGAGGGTCCCCTGGTATCGAGCATAGGTGTCCTTTTTGGGAAAATAGAAAAACCACCCGGGCCCTCTATTTTTCAACCAAATGAACCAAAAAGGAGACCTATGGTATCGCGTGTGCCCTTTTTGACCCCTCTTTGGTACATCCTCAGAAGGTGTCAAGGGACCCTCTGGGTTAGGGCTGGTTTCCCATTTACCTATTTGTTTACCACGAAATACACGAAGCGAGGCTTCAAATCCAAATCCAAACCACCAATCCAAAAAACCAGGGGTTGCCTGAACCACAGGGGTCATCTAGCATCATACTTGAATTGCCACTGCATGGATACAACGCTTACCATGTAAGTCCCAAAGACCAGATTGACTCAAGGGAAGAACATAATCCGTTGAAAACATGTTTCCAGCAGCGATTGATTCCCCAACAGGGGAGAATAACAAATACTTTTTAAGCAAATGGAAGCCAAGGCAAGGAAGGCAAAGGACACTGCTTTCAACTACCCATAGCCATGTAGATGTTTTATAACAACAAACGGCGTTGTTCAACAAGACCGGTCCTTCGCATGTGCCATGGTCAACAGCCACGCAGTTGGCAGTTCGGCAGTCGTTGCGAGGATTCCTACCGAGGACATCCTTGTGGCTCGCCCGGAGAACCAAACATGATCTAGAAATGAACCTTTCACCGCCAGTCATATGACTTGCAGACATGGGCGTCTTTGTCTGTCAGCAATGCCAAATCTTACTCTTCAGGCCTAATAATACCTACCCGCCTCGTTGCATGAATATGGAACCTGAGCAGAGTCACCACACAGACCGTCGTTCTCTGAACATGATCTTATATGGGAACATAGGTATACCTCCGAGAGTAACCCTACACTTTGAGAGGAAGACAGATTGTGGTTCTAACGAGGTGGCCTCAAAGGACCAAGCCTGTTCTCAACAATCAGGCTCCATGTCACTGGGAAAGAATCTACAAACAAAACAGCAGCAAAGGGTCTGGGTCCAAGTGCTCATTTGAGGATGGCGTTTGAGAAGTTACAAGGGGTCAAAGTACCTCCTTAGGTATCAAGGAAGCGGGAACCCTTGCATGCCTTTTCCAGGGATCGACCACTTCACCGCTCAAACTCGGATCGAAGCAGATCTATCCCTCCAATTGGTGATTTGGATTGGTTTCGGGTTTAGGGGTGGTTTCCACTTTACCCACAAGGACCAGGGTTCATGGATCCAAATCCAAACCATTCCAAACCATCTGAGGTCTTCCTGGTGAACTTGCTTGGGCGCCGAGCGGTGAGCAGAATCTTGTGGCGCCGCTCGTACAAGGGCAGCTCAGAGTTGTCCTCTCGACAAGTAACCCGGTGGATTCACGGACAAATGCCCCATTTCCAAATGGGAATCCGCACTTTTGGGGGGTTGATTCGCTGACAAAACACCCATTTCAGTGGGAATCCGCGCTTTTGGGGGGCTGACTGAAAAATGCCCCATTTCAATGGGAATCCGCACTTTTGGGGGGCTGACTCACTGAAAAATGCCCCATTTCAGAGAGGGAATCTGCACTTTTGGGGCTGATCCGCATGGGGGGCTGACTCACTGAAAAATGCCCCATTTCACAGACGGAATCCGCACTTTTGGGGGGCTGACTCACTGAAAAATGCCCCATTTCAGAGAGGGAATCCGCACTTTTGGGGGCAGAAGCACAACCCGCCTACCAGCAACAGGGATTGTC